TCATACCTGCCTGAAGTTTGAAATCCTTTGTCTAACAACTATCGGAAGAGTTAGTTTGATATATCTCGTATACTTTTATATTGCCTGTATAGTACAATTATTGAACAGTATAGAGAGTAAGCAAATTAGTTCCAGTTGAAAAAAGGGTTACTATGGTGATTCTGAAATCAGCATGAAAGTGTGTCAGATGGGGTTTAGAAACAGTATCTTCGTATTTCTTTTATATATATATATATATATATATATATATATATATATATATATATATATGTATATATATATGTATATATATATATATACTTCACAATCAACCCAATACTTACAGCAATTCGTTTGCTTATCTGATCAAAATAAAGCCATGTTATGCAACAAAATGGTCCCGAACTAATTTGCATTTTATCTCATAAAAAATCATATCTTCAAACAATCTGTTCCCATGGATTTCATGGTCTTGAACATCTTGTGTTGGGACGTTTTTTATCTCGTAACTGATATTAGAAATAAGTAAAGCTAGTTGAACAGTAATCTGTAAGTAACGTGACTGGTTGCATAATTTCTTGAGCATACAACTAAGTTGGCAACAGTCTTAATTCAGCTGTTATTTGAAACGAAAAATCAGTTGAAATGCCTCATAATTGGCATTTAAACGCAACATGCACATGAAACTTGGCAACCCATAAGGTTTAGTTCAGGCTAGCTCATTTAATTTTCTACGATGTCGATTCACCCTGAAACAGAAATCTGTCATGTTTCATTAGGTTACCAGGTGATTTTTGCAACATCTTGTGAGTAATATGTTTCCTTCAGATACTGTCTGATTTCTTCCTTGGATAAATTAACATTCTAATCGAATCTATGTAATGTGGAGAAATAGAACCCAAGTCAAACCAGTGTTAAATTCGGTGGAATGAACTACCACCTTTGTCATGGTTATTAATATTCTTAAGGCACAGAGCGATGTAACAACAATCACAAATTTATAATACTTTAAAGCCAATTTTACTTCTCATTGCATTATGGGCTGCTAGGAGCAGATTCATTTTAGTATCTTCTGTGAATCCGTCAAAAACCTTGATGTCACTTGATTCAGAAAAGTGCCTACTTTCTGCTGACTTGGGCTGCATTTCATTTTTCGGTGTTATCCAGTACTTTTGAAAATCATAGGAAAAAGAAGGTAATTTAGTTTTCGAACACTTCGAAAAGATAAATCATCCCGGCAGTAGTATAAATCTTAACAATCTTTAGGCTGTCAGAAGTTTTAGTTTTCGACTTATTTCCTGCAACTGAAAATTAGTTCTGATTCCACAATACCTACCCACACTACTTACAACCTACCAAAATGTCGCTTTTAATAACCGAGTAGCAGGTCGTAATAATGATAATAATAATTCACTTTATTCCAAACAATTTGTGGTACAATTTGGAATTCTCAGCATGATATACTGCAACAACAACAAAATATTAGTATATACATACTCTTTTACAACATTTCGAATTGTTTCGTCATAAACATTTAAGTAATGTAAAGAATATTGAAAAAAGAGAAAATTCTACATTGTAAGTTAAATTATCTAAATGAGATTTTTAACTGTTACAAGGTTGATGTGTGATTTCTGTTCTAACACTTTTTTCCTCACAAAATATGAATGCCAGATAAGGTACAGTCAAATTCTTATACTTGGCTGTACGAGCATACAGTCTTATGTAATTTCTCCTTGTCATCCCCGAGGAGATACATGGAGAGAGCTGTAAATGAAGTGGATGCTCACCGTCAATTAAAATTTCTTTAGCTAGTTGCTTTCAGGAATTCACACGTCTATCAACTACAGTGTTAATCAGTTGAGCCAGAGACACACCCTTCACTCTGCTGACGGCCTTCAAAGCCTTACGAAACATAACATAGTCCTTTTTTAGAAGACCAGGAAAGATTAATAGGGTATTATGTAGCAGAATAGGTAAAATGCAGGAATTAATAAATTGCAGAAGGAGCAGTTGAGTTATACCAGAATGCCTCAGTTTGTTGATGTGATAAATTGAGTTACAAGTCAACAAAATATGGGACGCAACCCAAGATAGTTCACACTCGATTTACTTTCGGCAGAAGTACCACTGATGCAGCAAGCGTTATGAGACTTAAGCAGATCACAAAAGACTCGTTTACGCCTGAGGCAAAAATTAATAGTCTGACATTCAGAAGGGTTTATTTTAAGAACATTTGAGAGAGACCACTTGCCAACTTCGGACAAGTATTCACTTAATTTAGAGCAATCCAAGGAAGAGCTGACTGGAATAGAAACCGTCAGGTCATCAGCATACTTGATAAAATTAGTTTCAACAGAATAAGCCAAATCGTGCAAAAAAAACGAAAACAGAAATAGAGAAAGCACAACACCTTGAGGCACACCAACTTCAGTAAGCAATGATGTGGAGCGCATCCCTTTATGGATAGTATACTGTTTCCTTTCAGAAAAATAAGAATGCAGCCACTTTGTAACCCAAGGATCAGTGTGAGCTATGGCAAGCTTATTTAACAAAAGTGGTCTAGAAACAGAGTTGGAGGCTGTTGAGTAATCCAAAAAGACACAACGAAGATACTTAACACCTTTGTCGAGACTAGAAACAATATTATGATGCAAGACATTGGCTGCATCTAAAGTACTCCTCCGGCGTTTGTAAGCAAACTGTTTTGGATATCTGAAAGCCGTCAATGAAGGCTGAATCACAAGCAGAAATAATTTCTCCATTGCCTTCAGAAAAGGGGAAGTTATAGCGATTGGTCGAAAAGTAACATCTGATCTAGAAGATGGCTTGGGAATAGGTACAAGTTTTATCTGTTTCCAGGCAGTGGGTATTATGTTTTCAGCAAACGATATACAGAAGATATCTGTAAGTGAATGACACAAAATATCTGCACGTTTTCTAAATATAATATTAGAAACGCTATCATGACCTAAGCCTTGGGAGGGATTCAAAGACTTTGAAAATTTAAATGCATCATTTGTATCAAAACCTGGAAAACAGCTATCCACTTGACTTTGGACATTAAGAAGGGTGACATTAGCTTGCCGACGTATATATGACTTGTTTAACGCGCAGACATCCGAACGAGTTTCTTTTGTCATCTGGTTTTTACCAGTAAGCTCTTCAAATAATTTCCATATATTGGGAGGATTCTTACACGATAGGAACTTCTGGTTGTATATAGTATTCAGACCTTGTATTTCAGACTTAATTAGGCAGTTAAACCTTATAACGCCAGGGTGATCTCTCGCCTTACACAACCTTTCATTTTCTCTCCGAAGCCTCTTGAGATGAAGAGAGAAAAGTCTGTCAAATCTCATGTAAATTGCTTCAGTAGGGCAGCAGATATCGAGACAGAATCTGAGATAACTTGTGATATTGGTGATAGCGTTGTCTAAAACTTCTTCAGCAAATACATCCCAGTCCGCTTCTACAGGCATGCTACTCAAAAGTAATATATTTTTTGTGAATAGCATCTGTTTTGAACTTTCCTGGAAGGGTATTCGAAAGCTTTCCTGTATAATTAGCCGTACACTTTAGGCAAAACACGAACAATACAGTCATCGGAATTAAGCAGCGTAGCCCGTTTACGGGCTTCATATATGCCAGGTTCATTTGCAAATACAAAGTTTAGGGTGTTGTCAAGACGAGTGGAAAAGTTAACCATATTTGTATGACCCAATGATAATAGAAAACTGCAGTCACTTGAGCTAAAATCTCCACAGACAATAGACAAGGAGTTTCTCAGAACCAGAGCTGCAAATTCAGTGAATTTATCAGCAAAAGTTGACAAATCTGAGAAACTGCAGTCAGGTTTGATAAACATGTTTGTTGTATATATGTATTTGTATTTGCTCAAATTTTAGGGATGACATTTGATGGTAGCGCACTCAATTTTTGGTTACAGAATCAGAAGCATAAACAGTTGGAGAAGGACCAGTTTGCACTAATAAATGTTGCAACACCACCACATTTCTTCTTCGAAAAGCTTCGATCTTGTCGAAATAATCCGAAACAATCTTAACAGACTAAATCACCATCACATAGGTTATGAAGCCATGTTTCCTGTAGCATTATTACACCCATGTTTCGATAAACATTTGTAGACAAGAGTGATTGAAGTTAGGCAACTTTATTCGGCAACGACCTGCAGTTTCCGGAATAGTTATTTGGTCTATAGTCATACACTTTAAACCCGTTGCCACCCACCGTCGTGCTTCTCCTTAAATTTCCTGTCAATTTGCGAAGCGATAGGTTGTAATAATTTAAAAACGCGAGAGAATATTCAATACGACTGGTTGACATAATTGGACGATTAAAACAATATAGAAATGAGAATTTGATGTAACATATTTGGTGATAAAAAAAGGTAGCCCAGAGTTCAAGCAGGTCACCCACTATCAACTAATTCTAAAGGTATTTTAACAATAATAGGTCACACAATGACGCGTATCTTTATGAAGTAAACTACTGTCGCTTCATCAAATTAGTGAACTAAAATAAAACATGGAAACAGGTGGTTCATGAAAAAATGTTTTTATCATGTCTTACGAACTAGCAATGATTATTATCTAGAAAGTACAAGGGATGAAAAGACCGATGTTTAACAGAGTTTTTCATCGTCAGTCACTGAAAGTCTTTAAATCCGTGATTACTTTTAGGGCTTTTGTTAACACTGAACAATTTCGTGTGAAGGGATACTGAACGCCTAAAGTGTATCTGTGGTGTTAACCGTCGTCTCTATCCCATAAAATCTCATGTTTTGTAGTTAAAGAACGTTTCATAAGTTTATTTTATGACTAAATATAGTTATATCATAAATGGGCTAAGATTTTTCCCTTTAAGTCAAGTGTAGTTAGTGAGTTGTACGAAGCTTTCTCAACTTCACTAAACACGCTGTTTGTTACATAACTTTTGTATTGATAATCTTCATTGATTTGAACAATATTCAAGCTAACAAATCTATTGTTTTTTCAAAGGTGACGGAGATACTACGATGTCCTGTGACAAAATTTCTCGGTCATATGGTATCTTACATGACTTTTTTAATTTTAATTACTGTGGCCACATTTCGTCTTGATCGAACAGCAGTTAGTGATGAAGACGACGACTGGGAGGTTAGATATACGGAGATCTTGAGTTATGATTTTAGAACATCGAATCTGGTTATGACCAAAATCCAAATAATATTGCTATTTTGGATACTAGGTAAGTAAAGTTTGAAAGTTTACAGTGAATTGCGCAAGATGCTACTTTAATTTACTTTGAAGAAGCACAGTATTTTAGTATACAGCGAAAGACTCCGTTAACAATATCTTGCATATTTTGACTTTCACTTAGACGCAAAAAACGGGTTGGTAAATGACACAGAATTAAGGATTAAGTGTTTATACAAGTGTGTAAATAAATGGCTCTTTCGTTTGTGCATTCTTATCTCTTAAAACTAGCTTTTAGAAGCATGGATTTCTTCAATAGAAAGAACAAATACAAGACTTGTCACTCCACAAGGTGACGAACTCAGGACTAATGTTACCAGTGTTTACTTGGGGATACTAAAGTGACTTATATTTTATCGATACCCTATTATAATACAAGCATATCAGAGAAGTATGATTTCATTGTGGCAGTATTTATATGCGTAGATACAAATAGTGGAACTATAGTGCAGTTATGTTGGTCGGAAAACTACCACTGACCTATCCAGACTTTAACTGACTTCGTGTATAAGTGAATGAGCTACGCTGATTCGTTATTGGAGAATAACCAATTTCATGTTGTTTAATTTAGTTATTAATTAGTTTTACAGATTATTCCTGTGAGTTCGAATCTCTGTGTGTTGCAGATATTTCTCAGTAATGAGTCTCAAGATGCACGAAACATAGGTAGAAGAAAGTTCCCTGCCCACTGCTTTTTAATACAGTAATTAGAATTGGTAAAAAGAATGCTCAGAAGGTAACCTCTTTCGTTACTAAAACAAGCTTACTCAAACAAAAGTCAAAAAGTAACGTAACTTTAAGTTGGTCAAAATGAACAAACCATGAGAATTCAGTAATAAAATGCCGTAGTACAAAATCAAATTATATTTAAGATAACCTAAATATTTTAAGGAAATTCCTTAATTTTGGAGAAACGGTTACTCTGAAATTGCCTCATGTATGGCTAGTCGAGATTGATTGAGAATGGAATTAAAATTTCAGATTTCATAACTGGCTAGTGGGAAGTATTCCAGCGTAGTAGCAACCTGATTTACACTTGTGTGTAGATACATTCTTCCACCAATAACTAAATGCACTTAAAGCTACACTATTATATGGAATTTATGAGTGAATTTACTAATAATTCCACCAAATAATAAATTTTACACTATCCAAAGGCACGTTCTGAATGTTTTAGTTTAATTACTGTTTGCGAAGAAAGTTTGGTCTTCTTCGTTTCTGGAATTGTGCTTAGTTTCCGTAGATAAGAATTTTCATCCGCTTGAAAGGTGATATGCATTGATTCACTGCCACTGCATATAAACCATATACTCTGACGTCTTTCTGATGCCTGGTCAGTTTTTACGCTAGTGACAGTTCACACAGTTTGTTAACCCATAGAAAATTGGCTGTGTAATATCTATCCATCTTTCCAACGGGTTTGAGCAGACATTATTTTTGAACAAACATCATCCATAAATTACGGAGGTTGTTAAACAGTCGTGTTACCGTACCTTCTTTATCGGTGCGTCCAACTATTTTCTGTACAACCTATGTCTTTTATTGCTAGCTTGCTAACAAAAGTCGAACAGTATATAATGTACTTTCTTGACAAGTTACAGGAACAACTTTGAAAAGATAGCATAAGTATTAGATTCCTCGGATCACTCTGCTACTGATATGTGAATGGCAGGTGGTTACAAACTAAGGTTCACCACAGACTGACACTAGTTTGGGACCCACTGAGAACCTAAGGACACTAGACATGTGTTTCGTCCTAGCATGAAACTTGTCAGCAGCGCACCGCCATAACGCCTGCCAGAGATCGTACCCAGAACATGCAGGCTTCACTGTGAGCACGTTACTACCGAACAACTGGGTCAGAACCCAATGGTCAACATTTCCTTACTTCTGCATGTTCATGATTTAGTTGAGTGGTCTATTAAGCTTTTAGTCTAAGCTGTAATTCAAATCACTGAACTCAGATGGAAAAGTAACATATCATTATGAATAACAATAATTACATAATATGTAATCTAACGCGTATCACTAAGTATTCCAAGGAGTGCCAATTCGCCCTCTGTTTCAGAGTTTATTTCTATTTCATGTTTCGATATCGGTTTTCTAATTCCTTAAATTAACCCAAGCTAGAAATAAATAAGAGAATATGTACGCAGAATCAACACATTATTACCAATGAAACCTTATTTCATGAAATGAAAACGATGAGACTTAGAAATGTCTCTTCCGCTCTTCAGAATTTTACTACTATCTACTCTTTCATTTGACACTGCCATTATTTACACCAAAGCAAGATATGGTCATTAGCAGTATGATTAACTTGATAAATAAATATACTGACTCATCAAGTCTAGTAATGAAACGTCTATAGCAAGATGCCAAAGCTGAAGGTACACCAAACCACCATCATCCCAATCTAGAGTTATAAATCTTTTCCATATGATTAGACAGAGCAGCATTACAGACAGTCACCTAACTTCAAGTAGAAAAAACTTTATGTAAGGACGGACTGCTTTTGCACACACAAATCTTTATTTTGTTTAAGTTTTTAACTTACAATGTCCATAATGAGACTCATCGATCAACGCCCTACACAAGAACTACAAATTTTGCTGTTCACTGTATTGAGGTAAAGTGATATGACAGTCATCCAAAAAAATACTTGATTAGAATATAAAACTGAACTGATTTATACGGCTATCTTGGCGAGAAAACAGTAGACAACTTTCACTCTTAATGAAATATATTTGCGAAATTCCAATGAGGTAGGGAAATACATTTCTGACATTTCGTTATGTCATGAAAATTGCTTCACTGGTCAACTTATTCAAATCTATCACCTCAGCTGTTGATCGTGAAGTCTATGAAGATTTTTCTTTTTGACTTTTAGAGCTAACTTCAAGGCTTAGTCAATACAGTACAATAAAGTGAAAAAATATTTGTAAAACTATTCCTTTTACAAATTTCATGACTCAGTTAAGCGCAGAGAATGGAATAGTATATATGGAAGATTGTCACTGACTTAATCCGTTTTGTAGATCGGTAAACAACCTCAGTATGAAAACGCTAGTGTGCTAAAACGCCTAATTTTTATCCGACCATCAGAAACCTTGTGGCAGAATAATCCCTAATAAGCAGATAGAAAGATGACATGTCAAGATAATTGAATATTAAAAATTCCCATTGTCAAAATTAGAAGAAAACATATAAGCGAACAATAATGTTTTCAATTAGCTCTCATCAAGCTTTACGCCAGTATACATTAGTTTTCTCATATACAAAACACTGAACCAATCATGGTCAATTATTTAGCTTGTAGTAACTAAGACATGAAGTATGCAAATAGTAGATATCTAAACCATAGTAAAAATAGCCACAATAGTAATTATCGCATTGGTGATGTGAGTAATGGGAACAGCATGGTATGCAAACACTAGACAATGTTGATTGAAAGTTACGCAATAATAAAGGATGAAATGTGTAGGTTATCACCGTCTAAGCAGATAAACATACGTGAAAGGGGCGAAAAAAGAGGAAGAGGATGAGAATTAAATTTATATTTGAAGTTATTTATTAAGTTTTCCCTGCCCAAGGCACAGAAAAAAGCTATACGAACTTTTTCTGCTCACGAAGACTAGGTTTGTTTACTCTAATTCCCATAACCTCAGCTGTGCAAAATGCGAGTGCGAATTCTATACGAAAGATTTTGTGGAATACAATAGATGATTTTGAATCCCTTGGTCACGTCTATTATATGACCACTGTTGACCAAATGTGACAGAATTGAACTTCGTAGTGTCTTCCCTTGGCTTCAGCTTTCTCCAAGTTGTCAGACAGAATAAACAAATCGTTATAAGAAGCAGTAAATTAGGGTATACTAGAAAACTTACAAGAACTGGCTGAAGTGATAATGTTCTACTTACTCAATTAATCAGCTTCTGCTTTATCTATTATAATAGCTGCTGAATTTTATTCATGCGTACATATTCAGTCATATAAATATACTCATCATAGTTCACTTTATAATCCCTATTCTGAAACATAATACCCATAGTGTGATCTGAGTCCGATTTGAATAAACCACAAATTCATATAACAAGCTAATTATCTATGCTTACAACACGTAAATTTACAGAGGATGTACATTAACATGAATCACAAATGTTAATCTTTTCTTATGATAAACACCAAAATAGTGTTGAACCATGCTATGAAGTTTTACTTCTATAGGAAAACAATATCTACGAAAATGTCTTATCTCCAACATGTTATACGCCAAATTGGCAAAAGTTCACAAATCGACTAGGTAATCACGAAATATTTTGCAGTCTGGCAACAACAAGTTGACTTGACGCAGTAGCAAAATACACGGTGAACATAGATGCATCTGATCAGCATTCTAAAAGGTAAGCATAGACAAGTGACCTATTTACAAGGTGGATAACATAATAATTCATACTGGTTGTTTATACTGCAGATATATTTTCTTAATGTCAGACTTTTCAAAGCAACTGCATTTATTCTAAAGTTTCAGTGTTAGTAATTATGATATTCGAAAGTGTAACCCAAACAGTATGGATAGTTGTAACTCCTCTCATATTTTCAATTTAGATGTCTTGTTTCAACAAAAATCAGGGAAAGTTTTATTTTTAAACGTAGAATGGAATATCTTTGTCCCAGTTCCTTATGAAGATATACGCATGCACCTGTTTTTATCACAGAATCCCCTGATTTTAATGTATGTATCACCTATCCTAACTCACAGTAATTCTAAATGTAGTGTAATCTGTGCAGTTCACTGATTGGTTACTTTGTTGGTGACTGAAAAATTCCTTATATTGCTGATCTAAGCATTTCAAGAATGAAACTAGATTCCAAAGTATCTCATCCATTTGGTTACACTTTTTAAAAAATGGTTGGCAAATATGTTTCATCATGGGCTGTTTCACACACTAATATCTCTGAAATTTTCTGGATTAAAATGACGTTTTCACACGTGTCTGACAATGTCTTTCCTAGTAAGCCTTCAGACTGAATCAGAGCCATTCAAATCAAGTGGTGGAAAACTGCACCTAGGTGATTATATAGCAAGCAATTAGGTTTAATATTACCATAGATTAGAAGACAGGAAATATCTATATTCGCTAGTTCCCTTTGCCCACTGATGAGAAATAAGGACACACCAATACGTTTTTTTACCGAGAACTCCAGAACTGCACAGTAACTTTATTCATTAGACATAATGCATTGCAAAATTTTCGTTATCTTTCATAGGTCAACTTTGTATGGAATGTAAACAAGTTTATCATTATGGATTGCGTTACTTCTTCCACAGTTACTACAATTTTATGGATTGGGTGTCAATCGCTCTGTATTTAGCTTCATATTCGCTAAGAATTATTGTAGATTTCAAAGTTCAGGCATCAATGGGTAGATATGAAGAGCAGCTGAAAGTGGCCCAGTCAATTTTGTTCAATGCTACTTGTTCAGCTTCAAAATTTTGTTCTGGTACTGAGACAACAACTCATCAAGATTACGTGAATTATAGAAATAAAATATTGATTCCGGAGTCAGCATACTGGCTTAGAGGTTGTAAGTTGATTGAATTTTCCATGATCATTATCACTTCAGTAACTATAAGTACTAAGTGCCTGTTCACATGCAGTTCGTTTATGTTGCTCCCACTTTAATGGATGAAAACCGTTGATCTTTATTGCATGATCACATACAATTATTATAAACGGACTGCCTTTACCTCCGTTATAAATGAAAAAATAATCCTCATTTTCAATGACACTGGTAAAATTCGATTTCGAAAAGTAGATTAATTTTACTCTGCAGTAACTATCGGTTACCCGGAAAAAATGATCACCATCAGTAACAAGTTGATACACATATTAGGCAATTATTTTCTTTCCTTTAAACTTTTGATGCCGAAGATGAACGAAACGGGCACTGAATTATGTTGTACGAACTGTATTATGACCTGCGAAGACCTGACTTAACAGCACTACAGACTTGTTCGAAGGGTGTACAACTACTCGTGCCAGTTAACGGAATTTTTAGTACGGCCTTCATTCTGGCAATTACAAAGAAAACTACTGTGAAACTTCATTACTAGGCCACTCTGTTGTGTTATTCTTGGGGCAAACTGTATAGTTTGTAAACGTACTGTTCGATTCTAGTGGTCAGCAGCTGTAAAACATTGTCTAAAGCCTGACTGAACGAAGAATATATATTTCTTTTTAATTAGGTCTTCGTCTTAAGCTCTACACTAGTATACAGTTTTTACAGTTTAATCAAATTACCAACCAAGTGGTGGAGTGTTGTTGAACAATAATCACAGATTTTAAGTAACTCGTGAAGATGATGTTTTATAAGTAAAGATGTAAATAGTCAACAAAGTTATTAAAATTGGAAATGTGAAACAGGTTATTTCTAGGTAAATGGAGTGATTTTCAGTGTGTAGTCACAAACAATACGCGATTACGCAATAATAAGACAAGTGAATATTAGCGGAAACAAGAAGGGGAAGAGTTGTATACAGGACTACTGGAAGTTACACCATGTGGACGGCTACGGTAATGAAAGTGGTCCAACAAGCTTCTTTTGAATACAAAGTTAGCTTTGTAAAGGTGAATTGTAATCGCCTGTGATGTGTGAAGTAAGTGACTGCGTAATCCATGTGGTAAACTAGTTGAAATATGACGAATAATTCTGAAAGCTTTCCAAGTATCCACTTGATGTCTCGTGTCAATTAGGTGTCCAAGTGTGGAACTCTTTATTGTTCCGATTTGTCCCTTGCCCAACTACTTGATTGGCAATTTGATTAGGTTGTAAAACTAGATATTAGTGTAGGACCGAAGACGAAAACCTAATTGAAAAGGAATATATTTCTTCCCGCAATCAGTCTTTTTCTAACTGTCTAAAGCGTTTAACTTTACTTCACTGCTAAAATGAAATGGCACTTTGATGGAGATTTGGAAGATACATTTCTCATATATACTGGCTTAACAGTCACTATGAGCTTCAGATATATAAGATGAGAACTGCTTGTGATGCGTGATCTGTAAATGAGTAGTAATAAGAATACAGCCTAATTATTGGCATTACATTAGTTATTAGTTTGGCACACTAGTTTTTATTTTAATAAGTGCATTCCTCAGCTTTGTCCCTTGATGAAGTACTCGAACTAAATTTTGATAGTTACGGAAACCTTTCAGCCTGCTTTTCAAAATATTTTTAGTAAAAACTGCATAACACTACACAAAGCCTACGGTTCATTTTTACAGACAAAAGAATGATTCGAGTTTAATTCAACCTACTGTATTTACCAAAGTCAAACGTTTTTATATAGTCCCAGGTTTTCACATATGAACGTTAGAGATGTAACCAAAGCTATGCATGGAAAAAACTTAGGCAATTGCAAGTTTCATCAGAAACTAATAAAGTATCTACAACACTGTCGATAGTTGAAAACTGAAGAATTATGCCTTACTAATGATTTAGTTACCTCAAATTACTTAATTTTATTCAAAAACACTTCACATGATGAGAAAATATTTAACCCAACAAAAATTTCGAAGCAACCATCATAGGTTAAAGAACAAACTAAGTGTGAATTTACCGCTATTAGGTTAAAACATAAAACTTCATCTGTTTAATTTCGTAATGTGTTCCAGCCTTGTCATGCTTTCTACTAATACCTTTACTATTGTCACTTCTTTAGCAGTTCCGTTCACGATTCAGCAACTGCCTTAGGTGAAACCCATGTCCACTAGTCTAGGATTCGATCACACCCTGTCATTTTTTTTTGAGAAACCCTGGTTACGTTAAGGTAGGACCTCTCTAGGAGAAGCTCTGAATGCAAGCCCAAGTGAAAGAATTTCGAGACCATCACCGAGAAAACCTCACCTCTGACCAAACCACGACATTTCCTGGGTTATCTAACAAATGTTCGGTAGGGAATTTTTTTTCTCAACCATTCTTCTTTCTTTCTCACATAATCAGCTTTTCAGAAAATGCCATTATTGCTTAACATGCTAGTTAACAGTCCGTCTGTACTATCCTGATAAAAGTTGACGCTGAATTTGTGAAACCAGCTGACAAAGTTATTGATAAATTTTCATTGAAATAATGAGTGAGATGGTTGTAGTGCTTGCTGGTGGTGAGTATAATAGGATGCACAATTTTTAATGGTGTTATGTTGTCAGATATTTACTGATCAAGGAGTATAGGAAGTAAAGTTGTCTTCCAGTATTCATCCCTGTGCTGTGGGTAAGACTTTAAATCCAAGGTTAACAAAATTTTATATATATATATATATATATATATATATATATATATATATATGCTCAAGCCCTTAATCTTTCATCTTTCAGTTACCTTTCGGAAGTAATTAGATGCATAAGTAAAATGGACTGAATGACACATCAAAAGATTCGTCAGCTTGCCATTCGCTTGCGAAGAGCAGCTAATGATTCAGTTTCAAAAAAGCAATGCTCAAGTTTGTGTTGTTTCAGTCAAGTTAATTAAAATATTTTCCTCTGTTTCACCCCGTTCCCTTTGATGATTTTTTCTAATTTAGGTCGTCTTTGGTGGGCTCCAGATGATCCTGAGTACATTTCAGATTGCCTGTTTGCCTTGGGTAATGTTTGTCTTTTTCAAGAATAAGTTACCTTATGCCTGCTTGGGAACTTCTTGGACCACTTCAAATATCTCTAGCTCGTATGGTGTCGGATATTATAAGGTTTATGGCTTTGTTTACTGTGGTAAGTAACAGTTTACTTTGGTCGGAATGATAAGTTAACTTTTTCCAGTAGATACGGGTTATACTTACATTGCCTGAATATGTTATAATCTATGGTACTGGCTAGGTCAGTTACAAGATGGATGGGTACTCATCCGGAACAATACAATAAAACTATATTCACACACTAATTGTTCCACTGTAAAATGAAAGTTTTCATTGTAGTCCTTAGGGAGGCAATGGAGTTTTAATAAACACACTCCAGGTAATGATGATCGTCAATAAACATAGTGATGTAAGGTAGATTCCTGTTGACCGAAGCCACCTTGCTTTCTTTCGTATGGGAAATTTAACTTGAGTCTATGCGTAATGCCCACTGAATTTCAGCATCAAGTTATCGAACTCTGTTACTCTTTGGAATCTTCATCTTGTTCATGGGAGCATTTAACTGTAACGATGCACCTATCTGATGACGTGAATGAATATGAAATCAGACTGCAATAAAAACCATCTGTGTTCTGCATTGACTAGTATTTTTGTCTGCATATTAGAGAAGATATGGTGAAAATGACAGAACATTCCAGAATAATTTCTGGCCAGACGTTAGTAAATTCTGGTTGTCGAAAGAAAGGTTTAATTCGTGTAGAATGAAGAAAAATTCTTCAATGAAGAGATTTTTGTTGAGCCTATTACTTTTCACTAAAGCAGTCTCCAAGAGGCCGAGAATTCTAAATCTACTCTTCACAAATAGAATTCTACCAAACAAATAAATAAAATTTAAGTGCATTCAATGTGAATAAATAAAGTTAATGAACATAAAATGAACGAAATCAGTGCGAAAATATATTGAGGTGGGATGAAAAGAGAAGTATTATTTTTATCAGATAATTTGTTTGCAAACATTATTCATTTCGTCAAACTAAAAGTAATCCGCATTGCTTTAAGATGGTAATTGCATTTGTCGTTGGTTTAACCAACCTCTACTGGTACTTTGCCAATATCATTGTATCTGTTGGTGCACATGGTCAATTAATTCGTTATGCTAGTGGAATACCATCTTTTAAAAGGTAAGCAATACATCTTTTTTCTTTCCTTAGCTTTTGTTTTCTAATCAACAAATTCTATCTTGTGCATGTATTGTTAAAAGTAGTACATGTAAGCGCTACAAGCTTGTTTGTATAAGGATTTTATAATTTGTAACTGTAATTAGGCAACTATAGACTTTCTATGTGATCATTAATCGTTTGTCATTATAAAATCAGTCAAGCAAAATTAATGTAGGCAAACTGAGATAAATCCCTTTTTGGGGAAGTAAAACAAAGGCAAGCTAATTCAAGAGAAATATCTTTGAAATAAAGTACAAGCTTCCAGCTTAGACGTTAAAAGTAGCTTTACGTTAATTTACCTAATTTCCTCATAGTTTACAGTAACTAAATACTTAAAGGAGATTACATATCAAGATAGTTAAGGGCAAAGTTTATGTGTACTACACAACTCTGCATGTAAATCTACAGTTAAAAAATGTTCTCCTTAACTTGTGAAGCAAATTTTCACAAAATAAACAAATTTGGACAAGGAAGAATCACAATTATCAGCAAATCTACTTTCGAACAGACTTAATCTGCTACCATTTAGATCAGTGATGGATAAAGGTATGACTGTTTGGATAAAGATTAACTCATTATAAGAATAAATGGATTTACCGTCAGGGTTAGTGACGGTTAAAGCCATAGTAAAAATATTGGACTAGTAGTCTTTTCCATGAATTTACAGAATGTAATAACAAGAAGGGATTCATCTGAGAAATGCGGCGTATTTGCGCAGCATATTTCAAATACTGTATTCACACAATTACTTGTTGAAGCATATTGTGTGAACAGTGAAAATAGACTGATGTCAAGTGAATTATGTCAAGGTGACAGGTTTAAAATAAGTAGGCAGTAAAGTAGGAATAATAATTTCCACATCACCCTCAGTGTCAAGCTGAGGTAAAGTTGTCACTGAAGGTTCAAGGAATACTCTTTTTTTAAAAACAAAAGGAGTCTGAGGCTTTTTATAGCTTCACAACTATTTACTCCGGTGAACAGAAAGGAAAGCTATGTAAGTATTCGTGAACTGTTGACAAATTTCAAGTGGAAAAGTGTTGGTCGCAATTTTACTTGGTAACAAATGCACGGTAGCAATAAACCGCAAAACTGCATGAACCAACGTAGTTCTTCAACCCTTAGAATCAGTCACTGTTTGCCAATTAGTGCATCTCAAATAATAGGTGAAAACAGAGATTTCAACTGGAATAGTGAGTGTCGCAATGAGACTTCTCCAATCGCTTTAAAACAATGGTATGTGTAAAAGCATTATTAAATGAACGTTTGGCAACAATGAACAAAACATTCACTGTCATTTCAATCAACCAATAATTATCTCATGAAAATTATACTTAAGTGAAGCCAATACCCAGCTAATGATTCGGTTCGGCAATAAAGTAAAGTCGACAGCATGGCGGCAGAAGTTAGAAAGTAGATAACTCAGAAATGATCCAAATTCAAACTGGTTTCACACTAATTAAAGTCCTGAATTAGAGAAGTCTACATTCTCTGAGAGGCGAAATCAGTTAGTATTCCCATAAGGATGCTGATAGCGAAACCGATCATAATGTCAAGAGTTCAAGTGTGTGTGGTCTGAATTTTGTCACAATCAAGGTTACCTTACAACTGTAATCACCAAAGGCAAACACTAGAATCAGTCTACTAATAAAGGTTACGCGATATTTTGTAAATAATAATTACCACTTTTAGCATTTTTGTTCCCAATAATAAAACATTAATTTCTGCCATAAGTTTTGCTTACTTACAAAGAAAATCGTGTCGTGATGATACCAGTCATTTTAGCATTTCTCATTGTAGCTAACCAGTCTCTGTTTCATAAGAATGAAAACATAAAAGCTTTTAGCATAAATGTAATAAATTTTTAATTTATTACGTGTAAGACCTTCCCTTTAATATAATTTTTGAGAGACATAAAATTAGGGATAGATAGTGAGTTGATAAGTGAGAGAGTGAAGAGTAATGAAGAACAAGGCAGTACTCTTAGGCAAAAACAAAGGTATAAATGAAAATTTAATCTGTTGTCCTATTTACAAAATCAGAATTAATGATGTCTGTTGCGTGCAAATAAGGTGTTGTAGCAATTTTTTGACAATAAAAGATGAACGGACAAATAAAAAAACATCTACTAGACAAACATAATCATCAAAGATATTATTAAAATTATAATTTTCACTAGTATTATTAATATTGATAATTACGGTAATGTTCGAGAGATGGAAATAAGTAAGTTTCCCGATAACATTTATCAATGAATGCATCAAAAATGAATCTTTGAAGGGGTCGCCACACTTATGAATCAGCCATAGCTTCAAACTATATCCTTTGATCTTCAAATACTAGAGATAAGAAATTTTCGTCTGTCACTTTTGATAGAAACTTATGCTCTCCACATATTAATTTTAATAAATAGTTCCTTTTAATTTAGTCCGATGGCACGTTATGTCAGCTGTCTGGAATCGACAAGAGCGAAGCCTTGTGTGAATTTTTCGCAAGGTGTAGTTCCAATCTTTCGCCATGGGGTTTTAACTCAGACGTTAAAAGTAGTGCAGTAAAAATATTTCGGCATGAAAACAGTTAGATATCATTTCTCTGAATCCATTCAAAAAACGTATCCCGTAGAATTAGCTCTTTGTAACACGCTTTAGGGATTCACATTCTCTCTAAACTGCATGCACGTTATTGATGAAGTTACCGAAGGAACATACAACGAGAAGTGATCTGCGAGGCAAGATCATAACAAAATGTTGGTTAAGAAGTAAACTGAGCAGTGAATTACTGATTGGTTTCATAAATATCTTAAAAAAGTATCATTTGGTTTCCTATACATTTACTTCAAACACCTGATTACAGAGGAGAACCTTACCAATTAACTTAGGGTCATAGTGCCAACCCTGATTACTAGGCTTTGATCGATACTTAACATCTGACAGTTCCATCGGTTACATTCATGTGACCAATTCACTTTAAAGCAACAGCTTAAAACCCCCATGTCAGTTGGTTGATTCACGGTGAAATTACTGAATACCTTGGTCATTAATTATCCTAGGGTCAATTCTTAAGAAGAGAGTGAAGGACGAAGCCATTACATAATCAATTCTTGGATCACTATTTCATTGACCCACTTGGTCCCTTAAGACTTAGCATTTCATATTGACGGTACCTGAAGAAGGAGATAGTTAATACTTTACAGACTATTCAAGTGACTTCTGTCTTCTCATTTTATGCCAAAAAATGTACCAGTTCCTTTGAAGTATCGTTAGACATAATTCATTATTTTTATTTTGTAACGAAAACGTTGGTTACATCTGAGGTAAGTCTAACTGAAATAAGCTGAATGATCTCTGTTTCAGTGATAAAAAAAGGTAGTCAGGTTTGTGCAGTACAATTTCTTAGTTGGATTTCGTACCTCTATAAATAAGATAATACAAGTATCGTAGACTTCCTGAAATACTGGTTCAAGTATCAAGTTAAGAGTACTGATAAAATGCTCCCAAACAACTACAGTATTTATGGAATGACTTGTAACCACCATGGCATTTGTAGGCTACCAAAATTTCGATTCCCCACCAAATTAGCTTGGAACATTTGATGATGCCATTTCTCTGATTGTCAATTATAACTATCATTCTGTTCTAACTAAATGTTAAACCTAAATTAAAACAGATTAGAATAATTGATTTCTGAAACCATACAATATCTTTAGCTCAAAAATGTTTCTCGCTGACTCTGATTCTTCCATGGATTTCGTGACAGGTCGGTCATCACTTTTACTAACCACTTTTAGAGTGATAAGATTAATGGTTTTTCAAGAATATTTATCATGAGCTACTCTAACCATTAGATTAATTGTTCGATCTAGTCCTTAATATTTGAAAATATAATAGTTGACAGCTATAATAGAAATTTTGATCGGTTGTGGCTAGCAGAACGGAGAATTACAAGTATATCAGTTAATAACAGTATACAATAGAAATTGTCAACATATTTGAGAGAATCACGCGTAGCAACTTAATTTGTGATAAGTGAGTGGAGTAGTAAAACTGAGTTGATTTGATGGGTGACTTTAAATGCCACCCTAGCAACGATCAAAATAACCAATTGGGTTTCTTCATTTTGTCTGGAAAGGCAGATTTTCATAAATAGAGAAGTTTAATTGGTTGTTTCAGTTGTTGCTAGGGTGACCTTTAAAGCCGTTCGATTTGATTAGCTAGCTTCTTCCCGTTTGGTCAAGTCTATCTAACTGTTCCAGTGATAATAACAATAACAAAAATAATAATAGACGCTTTATTCCAAACAATATATATGACAGTATAGAATTCTCCTCACGTAATTTCCCAACAAATTTACTCCCAGTACAATACTTTTAGATGGAATGGTTATTGCATCTGTATGATGTTAATGATAACAGTATTCAAGGCAACAGTATGAAATAGACAACTGGTTCCGTATGGGTATCCTGTCCAAATAAAAATGCAAGCGTAACTTTGGTGGTTGTGGTTTATTCAGAGGGTATAAAAATCTGCAACTCAAGCTAAGCACCTGATGGATAGGAATATGACGTACTTCTGTGCACCGAAAAGTCCATTTCTACAAAACATAACATTTTCCCACTGCTTTTTATTGACTTGAGAAATGAAGGATTGGAAACAGCTTAAAATTATGCAAGAGTATATAATACGTTCCAAGGACATATTTAAATGATTAAAACAAGTTGAAAGGAAAAAATTTGATCCAAGGTGTCCAGTGGATAAATTTGGTAGCCCACGGTTCAAGCAGGCCACCGTTATCATAGTGATGAGATGATAACTGCTCATCATTATTCATTATTGTCCCAGAATGGATTCATTTTTGGCCTTCATTTGTGAAAACAGCTAGTATTGGCTTATTTGTGTACAACTAAGTACGATAGTGAATTTACTATTTAAAAAACGCTCAAAGCTCCAGATTAGAAGGTTTCGAATTTCACAGTAAAACTCATGGAGGTTCAGTGTTTGAATGAAATGACAGTGTGAAAGCACATATACTACTTTGTAAGCATAAGGAATCGGAAATCGAATTCGTGAAGAAATGTGTTTTGTCTCAAGTGATATTGAATCCAGTCAAGTGTATTTTAGTCAATTTTTGGTGGAAAAGAACTGAAATGGAAGCTGTTTTATGATTGTGATTGTCTTCAAAGGTATTTTCATGGTGAGCAGTATTACCCTACAGATGCATAAAATAAGCCCGAAATCCCTTGAAGAAATCCATAGTTAATCACTTGGCACTGAATTTCGATAATTATTTTTGAAATGTTATTATCTTCATAAATCTTAAAGTCAGTGGGAAGAATGATGAAGTGCCTGTCATTGTAGCTTAAATGGAACCAGTGCTGGGACACGTTTGCTAAGATATGAGAATATAAAAAATAGAAACAACTGGCAATAAACTGATTCATATATCAATAATGATTACATCTTTATAATAGATCCAGGTTGAGCTAGAATTCTGTTAGATTTACTTGCTTCTCTTGTCTTTTTTTCTCCAACTTATAACTATAGCACAGGTGCCACTTTTCATACACTATACTGGGCTTTATTCGGGCAATCATCAACTAATGTTACAACTATTGATGAAAACTTAGCAAGTATGTATCCTGGACATGAACATTTGGCAGTGGATAGTAGCCCGTATCTGGTGAATAGTCTTGGAAGCATTTTGTATGCAATTTATAACGCTTGCATGATTATAATTTTACTGAATATGCTTATCGCTATGATGAGCAAATCATTTGATGAGATACAGGTAATTTGGATTCTCACAATTCCCCATTTTTCAATGAATATACACTTTACTTGTTCCTTACTTATACTCACTACTTGCATACTACCAACTGAAATAAAATTGCTTTGTTTAGGAGTCAGATTATCCTTATAATCGCCTGATGTTTATTTCAAGGTGTTTTTAAATAACCTTCTGAAACGTATACTGAAGTACATTTGATAATACACAGAATACTTTGCTTCAATCCATATACATTAATTATATGCTTTATGCGTTACTTTTCTACTTTATCTTCAAAGTTATCAAATTTATGATATTCAACTGTTTCTCATTATGTATTTCGCACAGCTTACATGACATTTGGATGCAAACCATCATGAACATCCCTTGGAAGCAGTTAACCATCTATGAGCTGTAGAGATACAATAACCTTCGAGTATAAGCTTTTCTTCGAACTCCACTTATCAACTTCAGAACAACTGTATAAGAAGTCGACAATTCCCACAGAAGTTACGTCACTTCTTTTCAGAAGTTATAGCCCGTTAGCCAACACGTGGAAGATATATTGTCCACCTTTCTTTCTTTTCCCTTATTTAACTGTTAGAAAAAGTTGTTCTAAGTTTTTAATAGATCCACAGCTCTGCATAGGATTCCGTTCTGATGTTTTATTCAATATTTCTCATTTTGATCCCTTCTATGGGTTTCTTCTGTAGCTATTGACAAGCAACAGTTTTCTTAGTTATTGAAATATTTAGATTCATACAATTAGTTCAGTTATTGGTGCGCAACTTGGGCTATCAAATGGCACTACTTTGTTATTAAACTGAAAGTAGGAAAGAAAGTAAAAGCGACTCAGATGAACTTGAAGTCTGGTCTTGGTTTCATAACTTACGAGAATTCCTCACTGTTGTTCGGTAGGTTTAGCCGTTTATCTGTGATATACTCTGCTTTCAGTGTGACTATCTGAGATGGCAGACTTTGACCTATTTGGCCTCCGAAAGTCCCTACTCAGATTCTTATTTTACACCCAGTTTCAATAATCTGCTTTCGTAAAGCTAAACGTTTTAGTAAATTTGCACAAATTAAATCTTATATAATCTTATTATCCAATCTTCATTCTTTGCTCCTATCATGTAATCGTATGTCTATGGGGGGAGTAGATTCATCACTCAAATGTCTACAGCAAAGTGTCCCAAACTTTATACACATATCTGCGTTAAAACCTTCATTACTGACCTGTACTACAATATTTTCATTCTGTTTGCGCATTATCAAAATCCTCGAAAACCTCAGGCTTATTGATTGTTATATCAAACTCAAATTAACTGAGTTAGTTATTATTTCCTGGATCTCTGTATTTTACACCAGTAACTATGCTCTCATTTAGTATCTTGATGTAAGACATTATGTAACTTCTTAGAAAATTATTTTTAGTGACTCCGACACTAAGTGTATTCCAATGGAGGGTTTGCATGGAATGTTCCTCTCATACTTGATTCCATTTGGCAGATGCAGAAAACTTCACTCTGCTACCCAACAGTCATGATTACAATGCTTCAAAATAAACAAGGTCACATTTTAGAAACTTCTTGTTATAGGCAACGGAAAAATAAATTTTAGCGCCTTGGGTGCTTTGGGTAGATATCTCTCTCAAGTTGATTCTGCCTGTATATTGATGCTGATTATGATGACTTGGTAATACACTATCGGAACGGGTTTGATTACTAACAGAAAATACCTATTTCCTTTCTTTGCTATGTTAGTTTACCTTCTTTTATCTTTACTCATCTGGATAGGGCGACCGGTTAGAAGAATGGAAATTCGCACGAGCAAGTTTGTGGTTGGTCTATATTGATCAAGAAGGAGTGCTCCCAGTCCCACTTAATCTGCTTCCATCACGTGAGGCATTATCATCTCTGATATCACGCTTTCATGGAATTATACAGTGGAGGAAGCAACATATGGATGTAAAAAATCATTGCGATCTACACAGAAATCAAAATGTTCTATCATTCAGTCAAACTACTCCAACGAAAATGCATTCCATCAATTCACATTTGAATCCAGACATTCGTAAGACACAAACAACAACAACTGTGAGTACCCTTCTGGATGCTAATTCGATACACTCAAACGATTGGACATCTGATATTTCTGAAAGTGAAAATGAGATTGAGAAAGCGTTCAGTGATTACAAGGTAAATTTTTAGTTTTTAACGGAAAATAATTAAAGGTCTTTGAAATATACAAAGCATGGATTGTAGGTCTGTTATGTCTACAAAATTGCATGTTTATCTCAGACTCTTTGCATCGAACCACTTGCGTAGATATTTTGTATGAGCAATGAAATAATAAATGCTCTCAGTAACAACTTGTAGCGTCTTTTGGAGTGGGTGTCTACTTGAATTCAAAACAGTTTTATTTCGTATACACCACAGTAATCATAGTACAACTTCAGCACTCATCGAACAATGTCGTTCATATCAACTGAAAACCAAACATTTAGAGTCTTTAACAAATAGCTCATTGTTTCGTTGATTAGATAACTGTCTTCGCTTAGAAGACCTGTAGACACTGACTGTCAAATAGATCTGCATATGTTTACGATGTAAGAGGAAATTTACATCAAGACATATTAGTCACCAGGTGACTATGTGGACTCTATGTCCAAATATTTTGCTAGATGAAGATCAAAATGATAACAGTTCAAACTAAGAGGACCAACATATACCATTTTCAAGCTATTTGGAAGACTTTTCTTAAGATTTCCTTGAATGTCTGTTTCTCCACTGTGAAACAGTATAACTTACTGAACTGCGTTTAAGACACAACTCCTTGTCTACAGTCATTTCAAGATCCCTCTTTACTGAATGGGAAGGTTCAATTACGCAGAAATAATTTGATAAATCACCTTCTTAGAAAATGGAAATTTGATCCCTTTTCGACAAGCAAGTCTTGGGATTGCATAGCTTACTGATAATTATATATTTATCTGAAAATGAATATTGAGTTCAGCATCCTTGTCCAATCAAATGTATATCATAGTAGTGCCAAAGCAAGTTAATGTAATTGTATACCTGCAGTTGTCAACTGTACTAGTACTGAAATAAATTTGAATTTGTAACAAATAACTCAGCAATTAGTTTGATGACAGATAGGATTTATTTCTTCCAAACTATTTGTCTTCATCGCTTATTATACGGATCAACAAAGCTGGTAATTACAATTATTTATTGCTAATTGTCTATCTTTTTTATCCACTACAAATATCATAGAAAAGATAAAACTACCCATAATGATATATAAACATAAATTTGTACAAATGAGAGATCATTAAGAAGTAGTTATCTGTGTACCGATTCGTTGGTTCTCTCTCCGCCTGCTACATGCATTCATTTATTCACTAAACTGCCCTAAGATAAACCATTTACTGTTTTCCGGTCTAAATGCGCTTTTACAACTTAAAAATCAAAGAATTAATATAAATTGCATACACGAGTTAATTCCGTAAAATGTCTAGTAATGTATTATCTGAAGTTACCTACAGACAGTCTAAGTTAATGGTGACTATTCTATGTATTCCCAATGTTTCGTGTCTGCAGCATTTAGTAGTAGTAGTATTAGTAGAATACCCATAACCATTTTATCATACATACGTCAGTAAGAATCGCATATCATTTCTGATTATTTTGCCTCAAAGTATTAAAAAGTGACATTAAGTGAAAACTCCCTAAAACGTAAGTTCTGGATAAAAAAGGCTGAAATAACTCATATGAGATTCCTAAGGAATGATTTATTTATAAACCAATATTCCTAAAAGTGTGGGCTGAAGACCTTACTGTTAATTTGTATTTTCTATCACTGTGTTGAATTACTTACTTATACATGGAGGCGGATGCAACTGAAAGACATTTCTGCTAACGCTTTAGTTAACGAATATCTCAAAACTGGCATAATCGTTGGTGAATATAAAGCTTCACAGTCTTCATGTTATAATTCATGTTACAACATGAAAGACGATAGACATAGATTGTATTTGTGTAGATCGCAGCCTGTTTGAAATCAAATAATTCCAATGCTTCGCACATAAGTCTGGTCCGATATTTTCCATACTATCCAGTCAAATCTCAAAAGATAATGCTTGTGTAAAAGGACCATCAACTGTTCTTATTCTTTTCGTTTTATGTTATCTAGAATATTTTGCTGGACACATATGAAATGTATTTATCAACACTGTGTGTGAGGCAAGTTTGCAGAATCGTGTGAAGAAGATATTCAATGAGTCCTGTTTCAATGTGCGTATAATAAGCTAATCTTTTCACTCATCGGTCATATAAAATGAATCAAAAGATTAAGACAATGTGTTCTCCAGAGTGGTAAAATATGTATGTTATCTAGCCGAAAGGGCTACTCAGGTATTTTTATATCCAGCTATGTAATGTAACCACCAAACCAAATGATGCAAAATCGTAGTACGTTAGGTATGATACTGTTCAGTTATGAACTCGCATTTTCAATTCCAGCTTAGGTGTTCTCATCGGAAAGGCCCCAAGATTACTGACACCCGATTTGGAAACGATGGGCTATTGCCATAGTCAGTGAATTTATTTATAGACAGAGTAAATTTCATAAAGTGTACAGAAATGCCCTTCTATTTAACAATGATTATCAGTGAAACCTGGTTCCAAGTACTTCTTTTAGCTATATCATGTATTGTATAATCTCTAATAAAATAGAAGAAATAAGGCTTTCTTAATATTAAAAATGCCTCAAACTACCATGAACTTTTCTTCCATTTTCAGTACAGAGATGGATATATTTAGTATGCCAAGTCACTACCATATATTTATGTGTACTCACTGTAATAAAAACGATGCTATGAATCCCTTGATAATATTCACCAGACAAAAGATGTCGCGTCTACTTTGAATTGCCAAAGCCGTCACTAACCAACGAGTTCAACCGGGACTCTGTGTTAAAAATAAAAAGATTGGTTGATGTAAAATAACTTCATTATTCATGCGTACTTCTGATTCCTAATGGTCTCTTTAAATACGTCATAACTAATTAATTGGAATAGTATATCTTTCACTTTCATCAAGAAATGCCTGACTTCTGTGAATGATGATTAAGGAGTTATATTTTGTGCACAATAAAATACTTTGACCAGGTCAATTCTTTCTAGAATTTATCCTTCATTGAATTCATTTCAGCTTTATACTGACACTATACGAGCAGATGTAATGCGTCGGTACTTGTTTAAACTTCAGAAGCAGAAAGAAGAGGAATTCAAATCTTCTGGTACGCTGTTCACTTTTTAAATTTTTGTCTCACTAATGATCTTATGCGCCACCTTTTCATTCCCGTACACCCACAATAGTCGCAACAGACTATATTTTCCCCCACTTCCATTCTTTAACCAAGTAAAAAGTGCATATATGACTTGTAAAGGACTTAACAGCGAATTACTTTTCGCAACTTGAAAACAAATACGTTTTGAAATGATCAAAAGAAATTTTTTAAAATCCTGAGTCCTGTCGCAAACGTTTTAGGTAATTCAAGTTTATCATAGCTTGTAGTTACAAGCTAATCTATACTCGTTAAGCAAAACATGCTTATTTCGAACTAATGCCTGGGCAGAGAAGGCTGTAGCATTTGTAACGATTTGCTTTATGCCCTAGTGTTGGCGGGGACAACATCACTCACTGGGAGCAAGCTCCAATCAGCTGACGAGAACCAAATGGGACGAAACGTTCGTTTTCGATCCCACTGTAAGCTAATACTTATCCTTAATATTGATAAGTAGTACTTTTGTTAATTATAATTGAATATTCACGGCAAACCACATTTTCTAAATAGTTATGGATTAGATTTCAGCAAATTTCTGACTATCTTAACTGTCAGCATCAAAAGGAACTAATCTGTAGTATCTTTCCTTTACTCATTATTCGATAGACAGTCTTGTCTTCTTGCAGAGAACTTTTGGAACAATGCTGTCAGAAATAAAAAAACATTTGTAGTAACTGAGTGTCGCTCTACACCTGATTTCTAAAATCATTTAAATTTGGTTTCACAGTCTTTTATTTGTTTGACTGTTCGGGTCAGTCTCATTGCGACTTCTTGATAATACTTTGCTACTAGTCACTATACCAGCATTTTCTCCACGATTTTCATTACGTTTAATTTATCTGTTAGCGATAATAGTAATGCTGTTTGTGTATTTATACGCAGTTGAATTTGATTCAAATGACATACACCAAACAGTTTTAAAACATCCTCAGAATATTGCTGGACTAACCTCCTTTACTTCTCAAGGGAGATCACATTTACTCACCCCAAGTAGTAATTAAATATTGTGATTCTCATCAAGTATTTCTTCAGGATGGAGAAAAAATTTGAGCACGCATCCACTGAATATGAAGTTACCTAAGCGAAGCATATACTTTATTTAATACACAGTAATAAACATATCGTTATTTCTTATTACTCTATATGGTCTTACTATCATAAGTTTAACTATTTTCGAATATTTTATTTTACATTACTTTGCGAAGACTTGAGCCATTCATTTGAGGTTTCTTTAGTATTCTTATAATGGATAGAATAGTCCTATTTAGAGAGTGATAATAGTCGAATAGCTGTGGAGTAAAAATGAAGCATACTTACATTTATAAAGTCATACTATAACAACAGCTATATGATTGTTTTCAACTCCATATCACAGTGCTACATAAAAAGACAACATTATTAACATGATATTGTGTTTATTCGTGTTTAATCACATTATGTTGATAAATTAATTACATTTATAGATGAATATTAAACACTGACAAGTCTCTTACACCTGTTTCCCTGCAGATTTTTCGGTCATGAATATCCAGCGGCAGCAAGTCCAAAAAATGATGGGCAGTGAACCAAAGCGAAAACAAGAGACAAGCCATGATAAATTGGTACGGAAACTAAGCACAGACCAAGATGTTGAAGAAATTAATGAGACTCCTTCAAAACCAGCTGCAGAGGACGAAAATCGATTGCGAGGTTTACGTAGTCTGTTAATGCCGCCATCTGTTCGAAGAAAATTAGAAGCAGTCGCATCAGTTAACCATCCAGGGAACGAATCAGAAAAGCGAGAAGCAGCTGAAGCAGCTGCACGATTTTACTTACTTCAGACGACCAGAAAGGACGAAAAGACTAGTGAAACTAAAACGAATCGAGGAAGCGTTAAGAGCCGTAACTCCTATTGTAATCAGCCTAAGGTTGAACCATTCACAGCACGCACTGAAAGACCAATCAAAGGCATACACTTGAGAGAATTGTATGGAGTTGAGCAAGAAATGCATGATATGTCAGAGGCTCTTTCATCCTATTCATTGTCAGAAGCAACTATCTCAGAACTCAATGAATTAGAAACTTACTAGAATCATGGAATATTTCTACATAAATTTGGTACTTTAATCGTCTGCAAATAGCATACATCTTCAGGCCAAAAAGATTGGAAACGCGAAACAATAAATTAAATAGAATGGTATTTACTGAAATATTTTTAAGCCACACAACTACATCAGTATATTTTGTCAAATTGATCTATGTGGACTCTTGCCTTTTAGTTTATTTTGAAGCCGAGATGTTCTCTTGATCCCATTCTTCTTAACTTTGTCTCCTAAACACTAAGGTATATTTCTGTAATGTTAAAACTCGAGCTATTATTCTTTATTCTTTGTGAAACTTAAGGTTTCAGTCGCTAAGAACGGGTAATCGTGTTTACGAAATTATAGTTATTGTTGATTACTACCATGACAATTATCAAATTGCTTACTGTTAATCCATTTCTTTTCTTTTGTTCGCCGAATACTTTATCAATACTGCATTAGGTAAATAAAATGTGTAGAAAGAAGAATATTTGAAAGCTTCCTAAAATGTATACCAGACTTTTACAGTTCACTTGGCAACACTTTTCTAACGACCAATCTAAGGAACCTTATACTCAGTTTTAAATGCATTGTCTCGTGTTTATAAGCAAACTACTGTAAGAGCCACTAACTGAGTCGACAGTTGTTCGTCGGTTAACCAGTAGACCTAATGAGGTGGCTTCAAATCATGAAAATGATTAGGTTACACAAATACTAAGTACTGCTCTGTTTCCAGCGGTTATTCAAGGGATGCTAACTACAGAAACACTACCTTAGGGTACTGCAAGCAAACAGATCTGATTTCAAATGATAAATGTTGATCGGTACGGACTCTCGGACCTAGGTGTTTTCTGTCACTCATCATGAAGGTTCATTGAAGCCCTAAAGAAATCTGGGAGCACTCGGTGATTCTAAACTGCCTCGCTAAGTGATGAAGCCAAGGGCTGAGCCAATAAGTTATCTAAGACAACTCTGACCACCTGCAGGGCCGGACTTTGGACAGGAATAGGACACCAGTGGGTAAAGGCTAGACAGCTACATCGCTTGCCCACTGATGACCATGCAGATTAAAGACAAATATCTATTTTTCAGAAGCTTAGATGGTTTGTGTGGAAAGTAAATATTCCTATGCATATCAGGCTTCCTCACTTCGGTAAGCTTAATATAAGATTCACGCAATCCCCAACTTTTAGGTAAGGTATGGTTGTTTCACAGACAAAAAATCCACATAACTGTCACTTTGAATTTGTATCTAATTTTGATCATAAGTTGTTTCTAAGGGGAGATTCCCAACACAAACAGATTCTACCAATAGGCAGTGGCTAGCAGTAGAATCCAGGATGCCAACAGAGACTGATCATTTCAGTCCAATCAACCATGGTGTAATACAAGCAACAACATTAGATTCTACCAATGTTTACAGGTAAATGGTTGATCTCAAGCATACTTGCAAATAAATGAAAGACTTGCATCTAACAATTAACAAAATTCGTACCAAAAAAGTAAGTTTTTTGTAAAATTGCATTTATAACTGCACTACGTTGCCATTTGATGTAACAGATAAAATTTTCAGTATACTTATTTTCTGACTCATTGAAGAGAGTACCATTTTACCTCAGTATTCCTTCCTCTATTGCTAAACTTAAATAACGAAAGGCTGGGACCCGTGCGTGTCAATATATTTGTGCACTTTTCAGTTGGAAGCACAGGGTTCATAAGTGAGTTGTCTGAAGCCAACGGACTCAACCAATACATGCTCATTTTGTATCTAACCATTTTATTGGTCAACGTGTTTTCATTGGAAGTCTGCGCAATTATTGATAAATTAAAAAGTACAGTAGTTTCTGAGTTGGATATGAATGTGTGTGTACTCTAGACTAACTTAAAACTAGCAAAACAAATATTGGTATGACATAACATCTCAGGGAAATATACGTCTTCGGGACACCGGAATTATGGTGATTTTATCACTTTTTCACTCTTTACTTTGAAGAAATCATTTTGCCAGTTTTTATATACTCCTGATGAGATTTATATCAGCACAAAAATATTCAGTTGCACCAAACAGTAAGTCATATATGAATGAAAAAAGTAAGGTTACCATAGCATTAGGGAATAACTTCATCTTGTGGTACAGGATAGACAATAACTCGGAGCATATAATAAGCTCCGTATGATGTACATTTGATAATCAGTTGCACTGTTACAGCAATTACTATTCACCTTATCAATGCGTGACAGTAATGGTCTGATCAACCTCCAGGAAATCCTAAAGAATAAAGTTTAGGTAGCATACTAACAAACGCATGCTCTCATCGAGTAAACTTAAAACCTTCTTCACAAGTTGTTGATACTAAGTTCTTTAGGTCCATGACTGTTAGCCAGCCATAAATACCCTGAAGGTGAAACTGTGAATCAAACAAAAAACAATGAGTAGCTGTTTAGAATAAAAATGGTTGTCTTGTGATACGTAACAATAGATCTAGTGAATGAGTCGTTGGAATGTCGTTTCCATGTGCTTTTCAGGAAAGTAGAATCCCAACTGGCCTTTAAGTACCACCTAGAGTCTCATATTATTGCCTTATATATCTGCAAACATTTTTGGCTTCATAAAGAAACTTAGGGAAATTCCGAATACCAATTCCTCCTCTTACATCAAATTAACCCCAAGCAACCACGTAGTGGTCCGAATAGGTCAGTGGTAAGGTCACTAACTACAACATTGGGTGGCGCATGTTCGAATCTCAGAGGAGACATCAGTCCCCTCGAGGTTGCGTATACGCCTTGCTGACTAGTGCTAACAAGCACGAAACCTAGGTCCAGGTCTTCCTGCCGCATGCCTCCCACCAGCTAACATCTACTAAACTGCACCCCCATCTTGATTCCCCTAGCTTGGTGGTAACATTACCAAATGATCGATAGAATTTGGCCTTCACTTAGGATTAGACGAAATGAAATTGGTTGCCTGCCCATAACCACTGAATGCTTTCTGCATTATTATCACATTACATATAAAGTGAGCTGCCAATATCTCTCCTTTGAGTGATTCGGTTGCTTGTCCTGATGAATTGGTTTGCAGTTGGTTGTTTCCTTTTATTGTTGTGCCCCTAACTACCAAAGGATGTTCAGGAAAGTATTGATCGCTATGCACAACGATGGTAGGTATTTCGACCAGTCAAATCAAAGTATATTTGTCGAAATATGTATCGAATTAACTGAGATCCCAGGTATCTAATCAATATGTATATTATGAAGTATCTACTCTTCGTTTATGGTGATATAATTACCTGAGGATTAGACCTCTCTTTACTGGCTGTTGAAAAGTATGTAGCTTCATTTCGGTAAAGTCTGAAACTAGTTGTCCATCAGTATTTGCGTGGTAACTCATCTTATTTGGTACAGCAATCCAAAAGCCTAAACAGTGATATCGTTGTCCTTTTTGTCTCCGCAATGAAATTGATGATGAGTTACTCTCGTTTTAGTGCCACTATCATCAATTCTACATAGATACTAAGTAATAACTAGGGCTACAGCATCTACCAGTTGAGTCTTAGGTGGCCAAGGTTTGATGATTACTGCTATCAATGACTTTTGCTTTCTTTCAGGACTTTGAAGCATGTCAAAATGGCTAACAATAGATCGTCTGATAATCCCTAAACTCAATTTCGGAATCAAGCTTTTCGTATTCAGCGTATCAAAAAGCTTTTTACTCTTACCATTGATTACAGATTGTATAAAATGGAGGTCACTTTGTAAATTAAACTTCGAAAGTGTGCATGAGTTAGAATCCCTTAGCATTAACGGTTATTTACAGCAAACCTTGACAACATGATAATTCAAAGAGAGCCCACGAAGTATTAGTTGACTAATAACAGCTAAATCACTAGGGGGAGAAGTCAATCAAAATTAATATGTTGAAAAAACTACATTCATATAAAGTGCAAACCAAATAGAAGCAGTAATCACGTAAACTGTCGTGGAGAACGTTCACATTTAGGCTATCAGTGAGGTACTATCAAAGATTATAAGCACATGATCAGGTTCCCATGCATCGTAGAAATTTGATCCACCAAAGTGTGAATAAGCAACAACCTTAAATCATCAAAAGCGAAATGTAAGGAACCCAGGCACCTGAAAACGCATTGAATATTGATTTATAAAATTTATATCAGTTCTTCTCTGGTGAACAGCACTATGAACATATTCAGCCTCACATTGCTTTAATTTAATACAGGTTCTTGAATGACTAGACAAGTTATAGAAAGCGGTAAGCTTGTGAAGAATAAATAAAGTCTAGAGTCATTCTCCATGTTCGTTGCACATTTCTCCTTTCTACAGTTCTGTCAAAACTAATGTTGTGGTTGCACTTGTTCCCGTGAATTCTTTTTAATTTATATACATCATACTACTTACAAAGTTTAAGTAATACTATTAAATTCATTCATTTGTTTTGGCATTCACTGGAGAAAATGAAGCTGTTTTGAGAATGGCATCTATTAGTATTTCAATTTCTTGGTAAGTCTTTCTGTAACTGCACCGATCCTACTTACATTCGTTCCATGTGTCGCACATGTCGTCTCCTTAAGCCTCATTTATCGCACATCAGTTACTTCATCTGATGCATTTTCATGTATTGCACTTAGACGGTTAAATTAGACACGTGACACAGATATACTTTATGAATATCAACCCAAAAGAGCACAAAAATATATGATCAAGAAAAATACTCATCAACAGCATTCTATCCTTGTGGTTAAGTACAACACTGGTTGGGAAACTGCTTGTAATAAGATACAAAAAAGATGAAAGAGTGAGTTCAGATTCACTGCAACCCTATACAAAAGAGGTGACTCAGAAAATTTGTCAGAGATGGAATATGGTTTTTCATGAGAAAAGATGAAACTACAAAATAAAAACACAACTGAATGATATCTGTCTGTTAATGTGTACACAAATAAATCGAAAAATTAATATTATCACCGGCAATAGATTTATTTGAAATTTGATTGTGTGTATATATTCATTACAAAAGTATTCTCAATTAACTTCATCATTTCACACGGCACAAACTTTTCATTTATATAGTTGTCTATATTCATTACTATTTGTTGATATGCTCTTAGTCCTCCTTTGTTTCGAACTGTTTGACCTCCAGAGGTCTAACTAATACGCGTTGTACAAGAGGTGGCTTTCGTGTCTCACTTGCCTAGTGGATTACACCTAGGCGTTTGAAGCGATGTTCATGGGTTTCGAGTCTCTGTGGGAACAACATATTTCGCTTGGGTTTAGGTACTTTAAGCTGAAGAGCCCGAAATAGGATGAAACCTGAGTTCTGGATACCTCTGCTAGCCACAACCAAATAAATTATCTATATACAGTTGACATTCTGATCTCCACTTAGTTTTCCATCACTTTTACTTGATGATTCCTATGGGGAAGAAAATATTTGTGCACTTCTTCTGATCGAATGATAGTGAATTTCAGAAATCCTCCTTACGAGTTAACATTCTAATGCACTGCTCTTAGATAAATCTATTGTTTTATTTTCAAAAGTCACTGAAATTTTACTCTCAGAACTGAGTGGTTCGTAGGTTAGTACACCAGTTCCATAGTTGAAGTATGTCAGTTGTACTGATGATGATGTCCTACTTGGTATTTCTAGTAAAACGAAAAGTTGCTTTCTTAGTTGCAATACAAATGATGTTTTGAAATATCTCAAATCTTTGAATCCATTTAAAACCATAGGTTCTTATGGTGTTTCAAGTATTATATTCAGAAATGTGTGTATATTTCCTTTTCCTCCTTCAGATATTGTTAATTCTTCACTCTGATTGATGTCTTCGAAGGCTTGAAAGTTTTCACTGGGCTTTTTTAAATTCCTCCTTCAATTCACCTCTGTCTCTTGTGTTATCACTCCTTCTTTGCCCACTTACTCGGTGAAGTGTGGCAACTTGAAGTGATGAACTTCTGTGTGAGGTTGTATGTTGATTTCGTCTGTTTGTCATTATCTTCCAAAAATATAATAACTACCGTTTGGAAGGATATTGAAATTGTACCCGTACACAAGTTATCTTCTAGATCAGTGTGAAGTTAAAGCCTTATAATATAGCTTGTCCCGTTTTGGAAACAACGTACAAACTACTTCTACTTGTGCTTAGACTGGGGTTGAAAACCTTGTAGAGATCCAATACAGTTTGATTGTCAAAACCACAGAAGTATTTTGGAAGTTGAATTTTAATATTGTTTCCAGTTTAGGCTGAAGTGTAAGACAAATTCCCTGTGCCATACTAGATTACACATCAACATTTGTTTCTTACACAGGATGACTCTTGTTAAGTGAACATACCACCGCATATACTAAGCCTTAGGTTGGAAACTGGCTGTATACTCATTTGTCTGAAAAGAAGCAGCATATTGTTTGTAAAAGGAAGCTCTCCATGTCACTGCTTATTAGCGATGATGATTTCAAGGTGCTTCACTTTCTTCTTTTCAGCCTTTTAATTTTTCACTTTGCTAAAACTAGATTCACTACGTTTACAAATGACCTTGCGATTTCAGTGCCAGCTCTTTCTCATTTAAACTGTTCCAGAGCGAACAGTTTTGTATTTAAAATGTACCATTGGTCCTTCTCTCATATCGAAAAGAAACTAAGAAGACGCAGTTTACCTGGAACAAGTGATGTGCTAGCACAAAACATTTCGAATAATCTGATCATACACTTACTTTTCATGCATACTTATATGAATTATTACAAAGGATAAAAGAATTGACAAAACAGTCAATATAGTAAAGCTTTTAGATGTTAATCTAGAAGTCTTATGACAAATGAAAAGGTAATTTACTATATTAACCACGTTTGATAATTAAACTAAGTCATCACAGGAGGGTTAGTGTAACAAGGAATTATTTTGAATGGTTGAACGAAGTCCAAACTTGCGTTTAGTTAGAGCTTCAACAAGTCTAATCATATATCCCCAAATGATTTAGGAAATACGTTGGAAAGACGCATATAAATCAACCTTGTGGACTTTCAATGATCCTTTTAGCTATTGACGAACTTCCACACATATTGTCTTGGCCAATGACATAATTCGATTCAACTTGTTGTTGCAGCCATTTCGCAGTGTGATCTGTGACCCTTACTCACAAAGACGGACTATTCCTCCTTTTGCATGAAACACCTGCAAGGCCTTCAAAAACACCTGGATAAGAATACGGCTTTGGATAGACTATTTACACATAAATGATGAATGTGTTAGATTCCGCACTTCCTGCACAAACATCTCAAGGAACCAGTTGATACTGTTGATTATATATACAATAAAACGTAAACTTATTCCTTATCACCAGAAACCCTGCCTTTCAAGAGTGGATAGTGATTATGTGTGGAAAAGTGATGGTTCTAAGGATGTATGAAAAACCGAAATTTTAAAACACTGAATTTCCTTAATGATCCCTAGGAACGATTTGATGATGCGTAAGAAAATCCAGATGTGGTTTATGTTCACGAACTGCAATACATAATGATTCAGTTGTATTTCTCAGATTTGAATCTATGTGGTTTGAAGTGCATTGCCAGGAAAGGTGTGGAATGCGTTATTCATCACTTAACGTTCTCAGTCAGAGAAACTCTGAACGGAATGAATGAGTCTGTACTACAGGTGTTCTCTGATGACTCTCCGTCCGTCATCACATGTCAAATTCGCCTCTTACTTCACTTTATTTACCTTAGAGTGTACTCATTTCTCTCCCTGTCAAACTCTTATGCTACCACTTTTGCACTACTTGCTTCACGGAAGTAGTATTAATGTATTTCATGACATTTTTGCCGAGTGTTAATGTTTGTATTGTACCGTCGTTGTTTGGACCGAATCGATCGGTCTCTATTGGCATATGGGCTCCTGCGCGGATGCCATCATTACTACTTATGCTGATTGTTTCAAGAATAATATATCTGTCAATACCTTTTATGCGCTGCCTCAATGATAATAATAATACTTGCTTTTTATTTTAGAGCTCAGCTTATTGAAAATTGCGAAGCCCTAAGTAACTAACTGCTTGACTTTAACCATCGTCTGCAGATGAAGTGCACACTTTTCTGTTACTAAATGAGTTTGGTACCTAAGTAGTTATCAGAATTATTATGTCTGCAACATAACTAATGAAAACTACTTTCAAATCAAACAACTCCTTCTTGGTCATCAGAGTGAGATATCGGTACTTACTGCTGACATGAATTTCCTGCAGTCCTACTTAGATTTCGTACTCTATAAAATCACAGGAGTGAGGCGAACAGGTAATTCGATCTCCGCTATATACAACGCTCCTTTACTCATTCCTTTTGACGAAGCCACTATGCAATAACATGAAGCCACAAATTTGAATAAGGCAGCTGTTCAGAGGCACTAGATTAAAGGTGATTTCGGGGCAAAACTCATTCTTAATAAAAATAGTTTTCGAATCAATCACTTTGTCACTGATTCGAATTTTAGAAGATGAAATGCTTTTAACTCAGGTTCTCAATGCAGTCAAGACTAACATTACAGCTCTGAAACGCAGGGAACTTATAAAAGGCCCTGACATCATAAAAGACATTCACTTCATAAAATTTTCTCGTACCTTGTGGTCTGCTTGATGCATTTCGTTCTTTCAAGTTTATTTTAACCTTTATAACTGGTAGCAGAAAAATATGTACCCCGAAAATAACGTACGTTTTGGTATTTGTGAACCCCACCATGATTTGCTTCGCTTAGCCTATTAACTCATGTGCATAAGATTTCCTTATGGTTTCGTATCTTGAGTTTTCTACTTTCAGTTTACTTTCGCATATGTTCCGTGAACCTTCGTTTTTACTTAACTACATAACATTGGCTGCCATGTAGATTTAATTCCCCTCCGCTTTTCGAGTTCTGACGTATCCGTTGGTTTTTTATTTTCTTATTGACCTACTTTCACAGTACCTCCGACGGTCTAATTCAAACCCAAACACCTTAAGATTTGAGGTTCACAATCCTTTTATTTGTCATTGTTGTTTCTGAATACACTATCTTAATTAAGAAAAATCTTAGGTATTTTTCGGGTATGAAGCTGTAAATTACTGAAGCTTCATCTGACATTCAGTTCTGGAATTCCTGGGCTATTTCTACTCTATTTGTCTTTCTCCGATCGTGATAAACTTGCGACCGCATATACAAGTCAGTTGATAAACATAGACGAAGGCAGTAAGTGTCATCTACCTGGAAAGCCTAAAAGAGCGATGATATTATCCACATTATTCACATTTCTATCTAGTAAACAAGCTACCTACAGAAATCGTATATTATGGAGCCTATCGTAGTTATTGTAAAAGCTTTGCTACCTAGTAACTAGCCTGACCAACATTCAACGAAACACGTGAAAAAACCTTGCAGACACCTTTGCCATCTGAAAAACGGTAAAGATTCAGAATTTATCTTAGATATATTGCTGCGGTATAACTGCATAACAACACCTTAGTTGCTTTAAAAATTTAAAGATTGTATTACTCAACACTACACGTATAATATGTGAATAATATTGAATGAAAATGCCATTGGTTGATCATGACTGTTTTACTACTAACACAAACCATTCACTGTCATACCGGCATTTACTCAATTTATAAGGTAATCTGATAAAATCTCGAACACCTTAGTAATGGTTGCATTTTTCTAAGTCTGTACGGAAGAATAAAATGAAGTCAGACAGGAGTCAAACAGATATTGAAGGATGAAAATGAAAAAAGGAACCTTTGTATGTTTTAGGATATTATCTTATGAATTAATACTGAATTCGAGTATCTGACTGACTTTCCTTTTCAGTTTGCTTTCAATTCAACAGCATTAACCAGAATGAAAAAATAAAGTAAATGAATATTGAAAGTTAAAAATATTGTTGTAAACCAATAATACTCTTCAGAAGAACTGCCATCTAATAACGTTGACATAGCTAGTGATGCACACAGAATTTCAGTGAATAACTGCATTGATCCTAGAACATAATCCTGTGTATCCACTTCAACAAAACGAGAACCTTGAAGGATTTGAGCTGTAATGCTTGTAAACTATAAAAACAATTAAAAAATTGAATATTTTGGTATTTGTTCTTGGACCGAGATGTAGATCTTTTTTAGGGAATAAGATACTGAGCTGAGATTATCAATGGCAGAAGTTCCAGCGGGATTACAATCAGCACCAGCTCATGTTATAGACTGTTATACATTCTACCGACTTTCGTCAATTTATCTTGATTTATTTGTTTCTACCTCTCATTTGACACTTCGTATACTTTAATGTCACAGCTCTTAATGTGTTACTGTTAGTGTAGCAAACTGAGCTAGCGAACTTCTGTACATGAGTTCACGTTGATTTGTGCGTTTTTTCTGTTATGTATTTACAGTGACATAACAGACCTCTTAGAACTGAAAATTATATCATTCTTATATAATTTTAGTGGAGAGAATGACCAGTAAAACACTGAAGTAACTTTTCATCCTCAACACCAGATTAGTGAATAGCGGGATAAGCATTAAATTCCCGTACTAGTGATTAGAGATAAATATATGGGCACAGTCTTACTATATTTTAAAATATATATTACCAGAGAAAATGACTGGATGAAATTAGCCTTGAAACCTTTATGACAGAATAGAGGATAAAGCACAAAACAAATGTATCCGGAAGAAAACGGTCAGGAGTGTTTTAGTTTGAGTGAAAAGTAACGAGATTTTACACTTATGCTGTCTCAAACCGTTTCTGTAATCAGCCAGTCGACGTAATAATTCAGTATAAAAGAAGCCTGGTCAAATCCCTCATGAATGTACAATGCAGTGGTCGTCATTGGTGACTTATCCTTGGTTAGCCGTTTCAGTAATGGTTTGCTTGCGAAACTGACGGAAAGATATCACTGCAATGAATACATTCATGTACATTCATGAGTTGACTGCTTCTAGGAAGCTATTGACGTGGGCTGTAATCAAAGGGTTCTAACTATGAGCCTTCCTGAACATGTACCAACTTGAATGGGCAAAAGTGAGTTAAAAGTGTGGCAACAGTGCAGTCCTTTCTGATTAGTTAGATAACTGCCTTTCTTTGATATTTCGTGTCATCCGAAATGTCTCCAAATGGACATGAATATGTCTCTTGTCTACGGCTGGAGCATAGAGAATCAACGCAAGGAAACCTGATCTATATGTTTAAAAGAAATATGTATATCTACTTTGTATGGTTTAGTTAGGTTCACAATAGGGTCAACACAATCCACATGAACCTTTTAACCACAAATTTCCCATCTTAACTTCTGATACTGTCCTATCCCAAAACAATCGTTTACCTTGTAGCTCACATTTCACTGATTAGCATCCATTTTCCTATGTTATTCGTTTTATGCCTTTGTTTATTCATATTGTTACCATTAGTCACTTTCAACATTTACATAACACTTCACTTTAGTTATTCATCTCGTCATTGTACTCGCATGCTTTTTCTCTCTAATTGAACACAAGTAGTAGCTATATAATGACCATTTGACTTTCAGTAAACAAGGATACAAACATTCATAATCTAGACACACTCGTATAAATCATCATTGTTCTGTTCATGTTGTATGGATTGGACGACTGACACCTAATAAAAACTTACATCCATCTGATTTGATCTCCATCCACTCACCAAAATGACTGTTCCAATCTTGAAATGATTTTAGGGTTACGCCGTACTTTGGTGATTATGTGTCACGTATTCTCAGGATTTATAACTATAGAACCTGAAGAGAATGTTATGAGAAACGGCTGTCCGCTCAAATTAGGCTTTTTCTAAATAATGATTCTTCTCCTGAAACACGAAACAAAACAAATTGTTTTAGTAATCAATTCCAAGGCTTTATTTAAGCCTATGGATAATTCCATACCCTCTGTCTTTTCCCAGTGAAGAAAGATTAAAGTGCGAATTGACTTATCTCAGTATTCCTAGATAAACCAGAAGTTGCTGAACATATTCAGAACTTATCACAACTGGTTAGTATCCTCTATATTGTCATATGAGCGCACCTGTGAAAATGTGATTAGATATATCTGCAAAAATCAGTTAATTCCATCTTTCTAGAACTGCAAAGAAAGCATCAAGGCCAAGTGTGACGCATAACCACCACAATGTTTTCTGTATACACGGAACCTTCAATAAACTTTCATTTTTTCTCTTTTTTGACGATTAAAATCTGAGCAACAACGAAGGGTGAGTAGGAGTTCATCAGGCATGTGTCATTAATATTCATATAGGTACCGCAATATATCATCAAAAAACTGTGATGATTTTCTCGATGGGATTCATGCTAGTATCCTGTACTTTATTGCTGAATTTAGATTTTCTGCATGGTGAAATGTTTTTGAAAACTAATAAATGTTAGGGAAGAATGATGAGGAAGCGTTTTTTAATTAAAGATCTTCTTCATCTATGGATGACTGAGCAGTCGAATATATGAGCATAGTTCCTGTACATTAGTTAAAGAGATATATAACACCTAGAGAATTCAGTAAAAACTTACTAGAAGGAAGTAAATTGTAGTGAATCCCATGAACACTTTAGTCAGTATCTAATATCATTTGAAAAATAACAGTAGAGAAAAATCATGAGTAATTGAAACAAACTATTCTTGATAAACTAGTTATTGATTTGTAAAACTTTAAACTGACTTAACTGAATAATACACTAAATGAAAGAGATGATAATGGGTACAAGTTCGCAATATATTTTACCTCACTTCTCTCATACAGATTCTGGCAACTTCAAGCGATACAGAATTTCGATGGACTGCACTATGTTGCTCTCTGTTCAACTGGATGATTAGGCTATATTCATGCTACACTAATCACTGTAATTGTCTATTCAGAAAAAACAGTAACACATTAAAATAATTGGTTTCCGATTGTTGATGTCACTGTACTTCAGCGTTTATCCTGTTTTTACACATAAATATCTTTGAAGATTTGCTCATTGAATCAAAATCAAGCACAAGCTGTAGTAGTGACTAAATAACTATTCCAGATATTTGGAAAATTTCACTACTAATATGACAAATGAAGGAGAGGAAATCGAACTGTGGAAACAGTGCATGAAAGAATAAATTAACTCCGTTATAAATAAGAACAATAAATTGTGTTCATTGTCATCTAATGAATGATACCATCTCACCATTTGAAATATCTATCTAATAAGAAAGATGCTACTACATTTCACGCATAAATAGATTACCGATTTTATCTATGAAAAATTTGTGCATTGTGGACAGAATCAATTTATTAGAAATATATTTTTAATGAATGTTTGCATACAATGTTTTCAATTTTCTAAACACGCTGGAATATTAAAACGTACCTGTATAATGAGTGTTATTTAATTTTAGTAATATTTTAACCTGCGATCGCACTAATTTTTGGAATTATTTGTCCTCACATTTACGGATAAACTTCATATATTTAGTATTTTTGTGTTATAGGTTTGTCATTGTTTTTCTCCAGTAATATGTTCCATGTTGTTGACAGTTGTGTTGAGTCATCTCTGTTGCATGTTTCGTGTGACATATATGAACATGGATTCAGTTAATAATCTTTCTTTTCATTTGTTCACGTTCATGTCAACACTGTTCCAATCAGTATTGTTTTTCATAGGCTGCTATGTATGAACTTTTTTCTAAATTTCTGTATTCTTGTGTCCCTGTCGGGTGACCTTTAATTAATCGTCTATGTCCATTCAATCTGATTTTCAGCGCTCACGATGTGTGACCTACATAGTTAACTGGGCAATCGGCACAAGATATTTTGTATACGACATAGTTCTTGTCCAATTTTTAAATTGGTTGTTTAAGTTGGTTTAATTTATTTTCAATGAGGTTCAGTGGCTTAAATGTGGTTCGAATACCTGTTGTTCTGAGATTTCTTTGTATTGACTCAGATGTACCTTTCTTATATGGCAGCAACAAAGTTTTTCATATTCCTCTTTCTCATCGTTTTCTGTTTTTGTCTCCCGTGTCTCTTTTCTACTTTTCTTGATATTTTATCTTAAAAATTGTTGAGGAAAGTGATTTTTTCGTAGAATTTTAAATAACATGTTTATTTCTTACCTTTGATTATCAGGGTATGTTGCAACTTAGACATTCTACTTGCTAGACTCTTTTTACACTGAGTGGATGCACTGAGTAGCAATCCAAAAGTCTTCCTGAATGCGTAGACTTTCTGTACATCGTTGTTTTTAAACTTACATCTGTAATTCTTTGTATTTTAGTCTAACACTGGTAGTTCTCCCGATTCATTCTCTTTCCATAGTGAATTTAACTGAGTCTACATGACTGTTTGTATGGTCATAGAAACTGTCAATATCTTATTTATTATGACCTGTGTATCATCTACATATCTCCACTAACCTTTTATTGAGGACATTAATAACTTTAGTACGTTTTCTTCCCAAAAGTCCGTGAATATATTGGCTATTATTGGTGAGATGGGCGACCCCATAGCCATTTCTTCATTTTGTTGATATAACTGTTGTGATGCCCCAGTTTTGTATAAAACATTGTTATCTATCCGAACATTTTAACGTGTCATTTCCACATTATTTTTACGTTTTTACGGTATGACTAATAGTCTATTTCTGCCCCCATGTAATGTAATTTGCTGATTGGTTGACTTTTGCTCTTACTATGCGAATTCCTCCAATTGCGGACAAGGTCATTTTTCATGTGTATACTTATTCACGTGCTTTGGATTGATACATTGTTACTATATTCCCGGAGTAATACACCCTCCCATCTTCCAGCTTCGGTCTTCTCTCTATTCGTCCCGGGGTTGCAGCCAGTGTCTCTTGCGTAGCAAGTTGGCTGTCAGCTAAGCGCGCGTATTATGTTCGTTTCGGAATATATACATATACCATTAACGCTTCAAAACTATAACAATAACTATCCTTCAAATGTAAAGTACGTTGTTGTTAAACAGTATTATACTCGTTTTAATATATCCTCCACAGATAGCTGTGTTCTTTCTTTTAGATAGTCTGCCTTTTTTAATTCACTCTCCAGTGCTTCCACAGCTATCTTTATTGGTATTTCTGCATGCAGGATCATCATATCAGAACTAACTAGCGTCTCCTCGTTATTAATTTTAATGTCCTCCAGTCTTTCCACTAGTTCGAATGAGTCGTCTAGTCTAGCTCGTGAGGTGTTTCGGATTGGTCTTAGTATGTTAGCTAAAAATCTTAACACATATTTCTGAAATCTATTATCGGCCTTATTGGATACCCTTCTTTATGTAGTTTTATCATTCCATACATTTTAGGCATATTAGAAGAGTTAGTTATGATTTCAAACCATTTAGACTTGCCAATCGTTTCTTTCATTTGTCCAATCATTTTCATAGTTTTATTCGTGAGTGTGTCAATCAACTTGTTTACAATGGAATAAGGTCCGGTTAGTAAATGTTCATTCATTTTTTTTTCATTATATCTGGTCCTGTTGAGAATTACCGTTGTATTTCCCTTGTCTGCTTGCGCATGTACAACAGATTTATCTGCTTTTACTCCTTTAAGGGATATTAATTCCTCTTTACTGATGTTGGATTTTCTTGTTCTTTGTTTCTCTAACATCAGTACACATTGTGCTCGTACCAAGTCAGTCGTTTGTTGATTACATCCTTCTAGCTCTGTTTCCATGATGGGTATAACATCCTCTGCTTTTAGTTTCTTATTGCTAGCATTAAAGTTCACTCTTAAGCTGAGAACTCTTCTTCCATCTCTGTTAACTTTCTATCTGAAATTTTCACAATCAAATTCGGTTTGAAAGTATGTACATCATTTGCGGCTTTGCTATTCATAAGTTTATTAAATTTTCCGATCCGTTTTTGTTTAGTTTCCTCACAGACCGCTTCTTTTCTTCGTTGTGCAACTTGTAGCATGACGTCTAACTGTTCTTGATGTAGTACTGCTCGCAGCATTTCTTTCCTATTTTATCGCGAAAAACTTTTTGATAACTCCATGTAAGTTTCCTCGTGTGCATATTCTGGAAGCATCAGTAAGAGCATAATTGCTTTATCTGTCGATATAGGTGACTTAGGTTTCATATACACTGGGATAATTCCATTCATGTTTAAGACATTTGATATTAAAAACCCTGTGATTCATAAATGTAGCTCGCGTTCTGCATAAATAACATCACTGTGTGTAAAGATTCACTAAAAATATATTTCTAATAAAAAGATTGCTAGTTCATATTCACGGTCATAAGTACCACTGTGGTAATCTTTTCTTTTTTTCCAGGCAAATAAAAGTTAACTAAATCTGTAAAGAATTCATATATGTCTTTCGTAGATTTTCTCCAAACAGTAAATGGCAGCAAATTCACAATTTTATGTTAAAATTATCTGAGAATACTTGTATTGAACCCACGAATATTGTTCATCCATAGTCCTATCTTAATACAACGTCTTGATACACTCTTACTCTTCACAAGCTATCCTCAAATATTCCCATCTCTCGACAACATGAGTAGCTACAATAACATTCATTACTGATTTTTATTCCTATAGTTTACGTAAGTGAAATACAGACAAACGCTTATTCATTGGCTTATAATAAAACATACTATATTAGCAGGATAATATAACTGTTAACTGTAATTATAAAAAAATTAGGTTATAAAATAAGATTAAAAAATATAATGTAGTTCACTCACACTTTCAAATCCTTCAACTGCAAATATCACAATAAATATTGGAATAAATGCTAATGGCATTGTAAATAAACAGAAGTATTGACTGAAGCTATTCGTAATATCATGAGAATATCTTGTTGCAAATACGAATAAAATGGTTGATGTAAGCAATACAAAGAAGAATGACAGGCCTTCAGTAAAAGCAGCAATTTCAGATGTTATCTGAGCCACAATTATCGAGTGAAATAATGTCTGGTAATTATAAAGATGAGAAACAGTAACAAAAAGTGAAAACTGTTTTGAATGCTGATATATATTTAATTATTTTATCACTGGTTATTAATGGTGAAAGGTTGGCATGTTTTGCCGTTAGGAGCGCACTGTTAAGGACCTATCCAGCTGCCAGACTTGCTTCATTGCACTAAATAACATATGTAATTACACAATCCAAACTAGATAAAATGCCAAATCTTAATAACTCCAACTATATTTATCACTTCACATATACATGCGGTAGTAAGTGGGTACGAAGAACAGAGAAGCGTTTGTCTACCAGGATTGCCGTGCCAAAGAGTTTAAGTTTCAGAAGTCCATTCTAGTTCAACGGTCCAATGGCTCGTCACTTATGTCATATCCAACATCAACTAGATGCAATAAAATCTTTTATAGTAGTCAACAGATAAAAGACGCTACACCTTCTTCGAATCGCTAAAGCTGTTAATATCTGACGAGTTCAACCGGAACTGTATGTTCAGAAGGAGACAATTACCAACTTATTACTATCCTGGCAATTAATGACCTTTCAAGCTCTCATCTATCGCAATATCTCTCTAATACATTTATTTTTTGCTTATTTATGGCCATACGCATATTGATTATCGTTTCATTATTCCCGTACTTGCCATTATTACGACTGTTTTGTCTCACCCACCTATCATTTTGTTGACATGATATTTTAGCATGATTATGCAACCCCTGGTGTTTATCTTTGATCTTACCTCACTTGTTCGTGAGAATCCCTCACGTTGCCTAAAACACTTTGACTGAATTTATTACTTGAATTCCCTTTGTTTCCAGAATTATGGTTTCCTGTTCTTTTATATATTAACTGATATCTTAAAAAGCTCAGTATATGGTATGTTAGTTAGTATATGTGCTATAGCTCTTACGGACCTGTTTATTCAGGTTGTATGCAGCTGAAGAAAATCCTACGAAACAGATGACCTCATCTCATCCTGTAGATGGTGCTCTCATAGTGTTATTCAGATTGTTAGCGTTTTCCTCTTTCCTGTAACTATCCAGATAGTTTCATTCAGCACTGAAATTCAACTCGAGACTTGGTCACTTCCGAATAATTACCTCATTTAAAATACACAAATTAAAGAGACTCTTTTTCACTCAAAACCAAAGACTTATACCAGTAAAACAGGTTACCTGCATTCCACTTATTTATTTACTAGTTTTAATTAGATGGCAGTGTTCATAACACTCCCTGTGTTCTTTGATACATAAATCCCTTTTCACACCATTTTAAAATTTCGTGTAAAATTATCAAAATCTTTATGGCACAAAATCAACAAGCATATACAAAACAACTTTAATGCCATCAGTAAACCACCGATGCATCTATTCTGTGTGGCTACATCTGCTTTTGATCCTAAGCCGATTTTAACTGTATGCGCTAAATTTTGTAAAATTATTTCTGAGAAAATGCCATGTGAAAAGTGAAAATATCCATAGGTTTAAAGCTCGTAAAAAACTTTCATCTCATTTTAGGTTGTGCAAATTTAAGAGTTGTAAGCAAACCTAAAATTACACCTCTAAAACTGTCTCCAAGTAGCGTCACCCCGAAAAGGATAATGATACTGGTATTTACCGCCGGGTCATGACGATGAATGAAACATTTTCTGATAAGCTAATAATATTCTGTGAAAGACATGAAACTTACCTCAGATGAAACTACAGACCAAAAAGAAACTAACAATGTGATGCACTTACGAAAACACCCAAGGTCATCACGTTGAAAGGGAAAAAGCGTTCGATTGTTGCAACTTTTAGAAGAATAATCACGCTATAACCATTCAGTAGGCTGAAAGCACAAAATGTTTTAAGTAATCCACAAGCTGTCGTCTTAAAACTAATATTTTGTGTTTTCAAATACAATTCTTTCTTTTAAAATATGATTGTCATCGTAGTTTATTTCCCTTCAATACTCTCCTAATAGTTACAAAGAGGAGAGCCACAAGGTAGACAAATGGCCTGCCTGAACTCTGGGTTATCTTGCTTTATCACAGAATAAATTGCATCAAATTTCTTTCTGCATTGTTTCAATTATTTAATTATGTTAACTAATCGTAGTATACACACTCGTACCTTTTTAAATCAGGACAGCGAATGGATCTCCACCGATACATGGAAGCTGATAGAACAGGGAGAGGAAGATGGTGAAGCAGAAGATAAACCAGTGCAAGGATGCACAACGACAAGAGGAACTAAACACAACCTATAAAACACTACACTGGACAAAGAAGCGAAGAAGAGTGCGCGCGAAGACAAAAGACACTTTTACGACACACTTGCAAGTGAAGCGGAATAGGCTGCAGGTAGGAGAGACAGAGACCTGACCACACTATATCAAATAACCAAAATACTGTCTGGGAAGTGATCAACGCAGACGAGATCAATGAATGATAATAAAGGAAACAAAGAGAAAAAAGGAAACAATGGGCTGACCACTTCAAAAAGCTCTTGAATCGAAAACCACTTGCAACTCTTCCAGGGATACACCGACAACCCAGCCACAGAATTACCAGTGAACACAAGCCTTCCAACAAAAGCCAAGGTCCTGAACGCCATAAAGTTTCCGAAGGCCAGGAAAGCAGCAAGACCATATGAGATTCCTCCAGAAGCACTGAAAACAGAAGCAGAGACAACAGCAGACAAGCTCACACCACTACTGCAGAATGTTTGGAGGGAAAAAAAAGGCAGGAAAGGTACCAATCGAGTAGAAGAAGGGCTATCCTGTCAAAATTCAAAGAAGAGCAAGCTAAGTCTTTGCGAGAACTGGCGCAAAATCATGCTCCGGTCCCCCCCCCCAAGCTAAATATTAGGCCATATCATCCGGGAGAGACTGAAAAATGCTCTGGGTTCGACTGGATTACGACAGAAATAGTCTGGATGGCTGGATTCAGGAAGTACAAATCATATGCGGATCAAATTGCAACGACATGCTAAGCATCATCATAGAACACAGCATAGAATGGCAGTCAACTCAACCTCAACTTCATCGGTTTCGAAAAGGCTTTCAACAGCGTCGACCGAGAAGTAATTTGCTAGCTGCTTCAACATGACGTTTTTAGTGCCACAAACCTTTATCAAACTCATCCAACAGCAGCTATGTGATTTAAGATGCTACATGCCAGGTTATTCACAATGGAAAGCCCAGTGACGCCTTTTAAATGAAGACAGAAGTAAGACAAGGTTGCCGCGTATTATCACCGGTGATCTTCCCCACTGTATTCGCTGGATTATGCAACAAATTGTGACGAGTGAGAAAAGGGGTTTACACCGTTTGACCGATGGAAAGACCTCAGAATAGGATTTGGATTTCGCCGATGATAGTTTATGTCCAGTGTCACGCAAACTCGAAGATCTACAGATGAAAACAAACAAGGTGACAGCGACAACGGGACTTCAAGTGAATGTAGAGAAGACACAGGTGATGAAGACACTCAACTAACGACAACAACAACAAACACCGATCACCATCAATGGGGGAAATTTTAAGGAAGTAGTCTCTTTCAAGTATTCGGGCAGTATCATTCGACTACTGACGGCACAGGCACAGACGAGGACGTCAGAGTCAGAATTAGAAAAGCAAGACAGGCCTTCATTAACATGAAATCAGTGTGGAGATATACTCCAACCAACTCGGCACAAAGAACAAGACCCGGATTTTCAACACTTATGTCAAGTAGGTCAGTCCTTCTATATGGTTCAGAATTTTGGCGTCTTACGAAAAGCATTTCCAACAAACAACAGACATTCATTAACCGCTGCCTACGCTCGATACCGAAGTTCGGATGACCAGAATAATAAGAATAGGCAACAAGAAACTCTGACAGGGCAACGAACCAACCAAGAACCTATCACCCAACAAATATGCAGAAGAAAGTGGAGATGGATAGGGCACAAACTGAGAAGACAGTTCGAGGACATCAGGCCCCAGGACCTCGAGAGGAACCAAAAGGCGAAACGAAGAGTTGGGTATGTGAGGATGACATAGAGGCAATCATGTGAGGAAGAAATGAAAGCTTGTGGGCAGTTGTGGAGCGAGGTTCAAAAGACTTCAGAGAACAGAGTCCAATTTAGACGTGCAACTGAAGCCCCGTGTCCCACTAGGAACCCAAGGGAAAAAAAGAAAACAGTAATAATTAATAACAAGTATCCATGTCACACTTGAGTCCAGTTTCCCAAATTTATCAACTTTTGCTGACAAATTCACTGAATTCGATTCTCCGATTCTTGTTAACTCTTTGTCACAGTCCGTGAAGATTGTATTTCATGTGACTCCAGTTCCCTATTATTACTGGATCATGAAAATAGTGTTGACTTTTCCATTCGTCTTGACAAAACACTAGACTTAGTGTGAACGAATGACTCTTACTTATATATAAAACCCGTAAACGAGCTCCACTGCTGAAATCTGATTACCGTACTGTACACGACTCGTCGAAACTGTTTGGACACCTTTCCAAGAAAGTACAATTAAAATGCTATTCACAAGAGATTACTTTACATTTCAGAAGCATGCTGAAGGCAACAGACTGGGATTTAATTACATATTTGATTTGTTGATTTGGTTATTCACAGAACACATTGATATAGTATTATTTTCTTTATGACATTTCGAGCACAAATTGTATTTAGATGACCTGAAGCAATCATTTATACTCGAAACGTTATCAAGTAAATAATGCTACATCAATTTGTGTTATAAAAAACTAGATAAACAAATCGAATGTGGAAAAGGTTGTGTTAGATGACAGACCACCTGACGTTAATAGACTTAACTGCCTAATTAAGTGTGAAACATAACGTCTGAATACTATTTACAACCAGAAGTTTCTATCGTGTAAGAACTCTTCCAATGTGTGGGAACTGTTTAAAGTGCTTTCTGACAGAAAACAAAAGAAGCTTGTTCTGATGTCTGTGCACTACACAAGTCATTCAAACATCGGTAAGTTGATTTTATCCTTCCTAGTGTCCATAGTCAAATGGGTAGCTGCTTTTCTGGTTTCCATGCAAATTACATATTTAAATGTCTTAAGTCCTTGAGTTCATCCCAAAGCCTACCTAAGTTCTGATGCTGTTTCAAGTATTATATTCGGAAAATATGCAGATATTTTATGTCATCCTCTTACAGATATCTTTCCAAACTTGTATTACCCACTGCTCGGAAGGTTGTATCTATGCCTGACTCATCTTCTGGAGTAGATGTTACGTTCCGACCCAACTCTGAAACTTCCCCTTTTTTGAAGACAATGGAAAACTTACTTCTCCTTGTGCCTGAACTTTCACAGACCCAAAATAGTTTCCTTACTAACATAGGAGAAGTACTTTAGATGCTGTCACTCTCTCGCATAATAATACTTCTTCCGGTCTACACAAAGGTGTTAAGTATGTTCGTTGTGCCTTTTCGGATTACTCATCAGCCTTCGGCTCTGTTCCTAGACCACTCTTGTTACATAAACTTACCACAGCTCATACTCAGACACGGGTTACTAAGTGTCTGTATTTTTAATTTTCTGAAATGAAACAGTATACTGTCAATCAAGGAAGGCTCTCCACTTCATCGCCTACTGAAGCTGGTGTGCCTGAAGATGCACTTCCTTCTCCTTTTCTGTTTTCGTTCTCTTTGCACGATCCACCTCATTCTCTTGAAACTAATTCATTGGGTATTTTGATGACCTGACATTTTCTATGCCAGTTAAAAGTCTCATTTAGATTGCTATGAATCAATTGGTTTGTCGTCCGTAATTGACCAATGGTATCTCTCAAATGGTCTCAAGTTAGATCTTTCTACATGTCAGACTGTTAAGTTAAGCCTCAGACATGAACAAGACTTGTGTGAGCTGCTTAAGTCTCATGACGCTTATTGCACTGATGGCATCTCTGCAGAAGATAAATTGAGTGTTAACTATCTTTGTAGCCTAGATGACAAGTGAGCATGGGGTTGCCGAATAATGTTATATAGATGTCATTACTCACTGTCAAATACTCCCAAACCAACCTTCAAGAACTGTGGAGTATCTAGTACCTGGTAAACTAACAGCAATTCACGAAACTAACACTTATGATGACAACATTTTTGAAAACAAGCTCATGAAAGGAAGGTATATGCATTTTACCTCAAAAGTATATCGACCACATATGTTTTCTTATCCACTCCTTAATTGATACTCTGAAAAATTTAAACATTTCGATACTTGTCAAAAGATGGATAAAACCGAAGCTTACATATAGTGGAAGATGAAGAGGACAAATGTCATAAGGCATAGCTGGAAGAAAAACAGAATAAGCACCTAAAATGAAGAAAAAATGGAAGATACAGTAAATTGGTTAGCTGACAATAAATTACCTTTATGTAAATCGTTTGCGATCTTCATAATATATGTAGCTGGTCAAAGTGATTAGAAATCATTTGAATTTACTGTTTTTCCATGTGTTTTCGTTCGTTTGCATTGTCTGTGGGCTTGTAAACTTGGTCGATCAATTCTAACAAAAGAAAAATAGATTGAGCAGAAGAAAATGTTGACTGACATCAGCTGTAAAGGTGATACGATTAATTTAAGTTGCCAACCTTTAACCAATGCGATCTTCTGACATTTGGGAAAGGGGATGTACTCCGATAACTGAGGTGAAAAAATGGCTTCATTTAGAGTGGTCATATGGATGAACAGCTAAGCCACAAAATGAAGCATTAAATCAAAGCAAAACGGCCAGGATTTTTGACTCTGACTAGAAATCGTTTTCACATTACAATGCGACAGCGGTTTAGTAATTTTGCCTTTATACATTCAGAGGTATTTGTTGGGAAGCCATGTTTGACATGGCTTTACACAGAATATATTTGTAAAATGTACAGGACACCCCTGAACGATTTTACGAATGATTAGATATCAGAGATGTTGTAAGCAGACTTTCTCTAGAAGTATCAAAAGACCCTTGAAAACTGCTGTGTAGATCTTCTTATCAAGTAAATCTATTCACAAGACGATGTACAAGTGGTTATCTCTGAAATAATTCTCTAAAACAAGGTTTTAGAACTCAAAATGCATAAGGTCTAAATGTGTCATAAAATACGTGAAACTTCCTCTTCCACTGGATCCAAATTTCATTCGTAATATTAATTAAAACTTAAATTTCCCAGAATGGTATACCCAATATTTACACACAGAACTGAAATTGTATTTTTATGAGGGAATCAAAGACCCTTATATGTATTCATTACTAAGATGGTATGCATTCTAATTCTATAGAGCAACAACACATCCCCTCCCACAATACTAAGGAAAATCAATGTATTGCAGTCCAAACTACCATACTGAGAACATTTGGAACAGAATTGAACCACTTATGAAATGTTCCACTGTAAAAATAGAATGTCAATAACATTATGTATTAAGTCCCTTATCTAAAAGAAATGAAAATATTGTATCGCAGAAAACAAAGTTTTAAACGAATGCATATCTTCCGTTAATATCTCAATGGACTCAAACTTTCAATATCATAATTGCAGTATGTGAAAGGCAGAAGCACATCGTGGTTAAATAATTTCGAGTGATAGTTATTGTAAGTTGACTAATTTTTTACACACTTACAGGTAATTATACTTCAAGAAACAATTATTAAACAAACAGGATTGGATAAGGAGCTTAAGTGAACGTTTCATGAGTTCTTCCACTTAACTCATAAATTTTCCTTGAAAAAGCTCAATCCAGACTTCCATGCAAAACATTGGTAATATTTTATTTTAAACACGGTGAGACTTCTTAAGTATAATTTAAATATAGTGTATATCAGAAGCCAGATACTGAATTAGTTACGTGAATTCAAGGTTCCCGGACAGCCTGTGATGATGAAGAGGATTTGTCAGATTCTTATACAAATTTCTGGCTTTGCCATTCTGATAGCAGTAGTTTCAGGAGTTTTCAAAAGACAGATTTCTTGTCACTTTTATAGATGGATACGTATCCTGTATATCGCTGTATGACGGTCAATTTTTAGCCCCCTGAAAAACTGAAATCTACTCAGTTAGTGAATCATATTTCACAACGATATTTTGATGCACATATCTGAGCAGTTAGCATGAGCTTCAGCTGACGTTTTCTATCATCAGTGCTCAGTAACTATACTCAACTTTCATGCAAACTCAAAAGTTCTTCAAAAGGTAATTGGATAATGCGTGATTAACTAAACTTACTTATCGTCTTGAACAGGATTAATTTTTGAGTTTCAACAGTCAAGTGGGAGCTTTTGTATTTTATCTTTCTAGATTGTGTTATTAAGCCTATTTCACTAGGTAGCGGACAAATTTAATGAACCATTTCTGTTGTCTTTACAGAGGTAAAGTTTTATTATTTTGAAAGTCAAACGTGAAAAACAAGTGGGTGTTTTAAAAGTCCTACCTTTTCAGTTTAAAAACCATTCTGTTACTATCAATAATGTTTTGAAATCCTTACTGTATCTAGAACACACTGTGAAGAATACTTATAGTTATCAATTCTTCCCATTTCATAAATCGCACTGTACATGCACACTCAATGAATGCTTTTGTATGCCCCCGTCAACTTGTCAGATGTCCAATTAGCTTTCTTTACTTCTTTTTATTATAGTGACTTTGATCTCTCACATTCAACGGAGTACCAAATTAACAGAAAAGCACACATTTCACAATACATCGCATGCAATTTCATACCGACTGACTAGTTGTGACTGCAGAAAGCGGCTAACGGTGGGAGTTAGGATGCTAGTTTCGTTCTATTTTTGGACCTTTCAGCTTGACTTACTTGCTTCCCAGTCAGTGATGTTGTTCCCAACAATGTTACTGAAACAACTTCTGGATGAAATTCTTTTGGTTGAAACATTCTGTTAGAACAGTACTCACAAATTAACTTATAAGCAGTTAACAATTTGTTTCCAATATTTTAATTAACAATGTAAAACTTTCTTCGTTAATAATATTTTTGACATAAATTGTTAATGATAATAATTGTCAACGGATGTTTATTAAATTTTTAACTCCTATACAGCCATTTTGCTTGATCCGGGTACTGGTAGTCATCGTTTTTCTCCTAACTTAAATTTATCTCTCTAGTTGTTTATAGTTGGCAGTATAACTCAAAACAATTCTTTGAAAACTTTTTTGGCAAAGATCATCAAAAGAAAAGAATACAGTAAAGTTTTCTGTTATTTTTCTAAGTGTTTTTTATCTGCTTTTGAAACCACGAGGCAGACCTGTAAGAAATGTCCGTATGGTAGCTTTTCGTTTAAACTAAATTCTTGTACAACTTCTTTATTTGCAGACAACTGGCCTTTGGCTCCTTAAAAGAAAATTTTTCAAACTGATATGATATTTTAGAAATGTGAACTCCATGACTATATATTTTGACTTTTAATAAATTACCTATAAACAAGTTGTGGTTTGCACAATTAAGTGAGGAGAAATATTTTGTTTTCACTTCCGAAACTTCCCACATTATTATTGAAATGTTTTATATTCATGAAAAAATTTTCGTATAAAATATTGGTAATAAGACAGTGCTGAACCGCTGCAATTTCATGCTTTGCAACTACATAAGAGTTTTCCCCCAGTGACTGCCATCAAAGTTGATTCCAATACCCTCAGGTCTACTAAATTAAATACTTATTTCCTCGCCAAATGGGATAAAAAAGTACAATCAAATTGCCTTGATTTTTCCAGGTTTGTGTTATGAATGTCAATGATACAATTCTTATTTCAAATAAGTTGAATGTATGAGGTTACTGGTAGATTTCAATTCGTTTCAGCCCCCGTGAGTACGGTAAAAGACAGTTCAGCAAAGAAACGTTTTGACAAATCATTTTTTGAAGATGTACACCCGAATTTATAGTGACAAAAGAAAAAAAGTTCATAGATGTCTAATGGCCCAACACAAACCAACCAGGAATAGTTTCTAACACGAAAGGGAAATGTCTGAGAGATCTGCACAAAGCCTCTAACCTTGTAAGTGGTTTTTATCATAGTCTGTTTCAACCTACTACCGGATTCCTGCGATATTGCAAGAGACAGGTCAGGATTGTTAGGTTTCAGGTTAACAGTCAGTCACTGTTTTGAAGTCCTATGACCCACTGTTTTCTACTTCTGCCAATTCGCGATATACTAGTCATGACGTACTTTCATCTGTGGTCATTCCCCTCACTTTTGACTGCCCATATACAATTTTACTGGGAAATATCTAGAGGCTAGTATTCAATTTACCTTAAACCTTTAACTGAGAGGAGCTTTAGATACATTTAATCACAATGAAAGCAGCTTCATTTGCGGAAATGGGGGAGCAAATGATGAAAGTCAGTACTCCCTTTTGGCTTTACTTTCTCTACATAAATCTTCTTTAATCAAGCCACAGTCCCATTATCTTTGTAGCTCATTTTTTATTCTCCACTTCAGTTAGCGAGATGCAGATGGTATAATTCGACTTCTATTTACAATCCAGTACTTAGAAACAGTGAGAACAGCTAATTTTGAAGAATACGCTTGCATTATAATAAATATTTTCAGGTATTCAAGGGACTGAAGCCTGATGTTGCAAATATACCCACCTAACTAGGACACCACGGATTTTGACACGTTTGTATAAGAAGTAATTTGAAAACACTTGTTGCAAGGGATCTTCATTGCTTTTCTCATGAAGTTAACAGGCATATTTATTGTTCACCAAAACAGTGAGTTACGTTACAGAAACCAGAATTAGGCGACTCTAGGTGGCACAGCTCAGAAACGATCTCAGTGGTGCAGGTGCATTCACATATCTCAATTGTCACTCTGAATTCAGTATTCTCTCATTCCTCTTTTCCACCTTTTCACTAATTTATGCCACTTTCAACTACTTTCTTCGCTAGTTTCTCATCTTTCTTCTAAGTGTTTTCTCCCTTGATGTGTTGATGTGACGTGTATCAAACTCGAACATTATGTCAAAATGCCCGGTTTTTTGTCGATTTTGTTTTTCTGTCTGAGATTACTTTCATGCCTCCTGACAGGTCCCGTCAACATATATGAATAATGTGTTAACAAACAGGCTTATTCCCACCACTTTTGTTCCTTACAATGAAATAAAACTATGATACATGGCACTCACCGACTGTATTAAGGTCAAAACTGCAATTTATCTGAGTCAGACTGCATACATGAATTCAGTTCCCAAACCTGAATAAAAAAGGACCAACTCTGAAGTATGTAGTGTATGTACAGATAGTAACTTTTGCTTCTTCTACCAAAGTAAACAATGAGAACCTTGATAAAATCACCTAATATAACTATCCCTTCTGTTTTCCAGTTAAACATGAGTAGCTTAATAAATTGACTTACTTGCCATTCCGTTGAAAATTGTACTGTGACTGTGAAAACCTAAACTCGAATCAATTTATAAATAACTGACTTCTGCACAGTATAAATTAGACCTTTGAACTTTTTCGCTGTTGCATTTTGTCCCTAATTTTTGTATCACTCCTTTAAAAAAAATTTATTTAACGCACATGTTATCATCATAAATATTCAAGTACTACGTCAATGTAAATGTTATTTAATTTGTGAATCCTTGATCATATTTATAACATCGTCAAACAGGTTTTGGTATTTAAGTAAAGATCTAAGTAGAGTATAAACTTCATATTTAAAAGGTGACTGAAATAAACTGATAAAATAATTAAATCTGAGCAAATCTCGCTATTCATACTTAGATATCAAGGTTTAACATTTTGGTCGAATGTTTGCAAAATGATACACTACAGTCACTAAGTCTATTTTTCACAGTGTGCACTTTTCAGCATCTGCAACCAATAATGT